CTCTCACATCGATGTTTCTGTCTTTCCCTCTCTCTCCCACTCTCTCCGATAATCGATGGAAAAAGATTCTCCGATCAGAATTAAAAACAAAACGAACAGCTGCTAGTGCTAGTGCTAGGAGCTGTGAGAGCAGTGCCAGCATGCTGGGAGAATGCAGTCCTTGGGAGAATGGGACCATGTGAAAGTGCCCGCTGAGAGAGAATGCAGATAATAACATTGTTCAATGAGATAGCTTCAGAACAGAAAGTGCTAAAATCTAATTTATGAAAGAAAGAAAAAATCTGGTGCGCGCTCTCTCTCTCTCTCTCTCTCTCTCTCTCTCTCTCTCACACACACACACACACACACACAAATACAGAGAAAATGTCTGCAACATCTGCAAACAGGAAATGCCTTAGGGTATGGGGAAGTTTTACAATACTTCATGCATTTTTATACAGTGAGCACATGTTACTTTTACGATCTCCAAAAATCCGATAGAAAAGTCACAGGTACCCTGGCCGATGTGCAGCGAACGGTCAGGTCTGTGGGTTCAGTTCCCAGTCAAGGGCACATATCTCAGTTTCAGGTTTCCCAGCCCCTGTGGGGTCGCTTATAAGAGGCAACCGATCAGTGTGTGTGTGTGTGTGTCTCTCCCCCTCCTACCTCCCTTCCCCTCTCTCTAGAAATAAATGGAAAAAGTATCTTCTAGAGTGAGTTTTAAAAAAAACAGCTTGGAGGGGGATGAGGGGGGGGGGGGAGCCTCAGAGAGAATTCACTCCACTCCCCCAACTTACATTCTCAGACTCAATTTGGAGAACAGGACTCAGGTTATCCACCAGACCTGTGTGTGTGTGTATCCTTTTTCTCACCTCCATGTGGCCACCAAGGTTTGGGACCTGAAGCCTCGCCCTCCATAATATTTCTGCTGCATCTTTTGATAGTCAAGTCTTTCAAGCATGAACTTCTTACACAGCCTACACCAAGGGAATTAAAGCTGCAGCACTTCTGGCTGGTGTTATTCTCTGGAAACATCCCTAGCATCATGTGGCCGTGCTTGTACCCACCACCTGCGTGCAGCTTTGCAGCCAAACTCTGGGCCTGACATGCTATTGGAAGCAGCCACCTGGGGGCCGACTCGCCCTTTCGACCCCCCCAGAGATGCATCAGCAGCACCATAGGGTGGTCTGGGTAGGAGCTTCCTCTTGGGATCTAGATGTGAACCCCAACTCTGCCACTGACTTCAGCCTTGAGGCAAATCACCTCTTTGTAGCTCAGTCTCTCCATATGTAAAATGGAGATAGCCACAGAACCTACTTCCAAAGGCTGTTGTAAGGACTGAACAGTAAAACAGGTAAATGCTTAGGATGGTTCCAGGTACAAAAGGTTGTTCAGGGAACTAGAAGCTGCTGTTTCTGGAAGTGCCTTCAGGAGTGGGTGAGGTCCTGTGCTCACCCCCTCCCCGCTTCACAGAGGAAACCAGAGCTCAGAGAAGGGCAGCAGCTCCACTTGTTGCACACAGAACGGATGAACTCTCACAACTGACTTCCTTCTCCATGAATCCCAGCGCTTCGCCCAAACTCACAGATCACATGCGGAAACACCGCAAAGGCCGGTGTGAGCATCGCCGTGGTTATCGGTGTCACCCCGGAAAGCCCTCCTTGGTTTGGTGGAAGGAAGCCAGCTCCTTGGCAGGCGGACACGCCGGGGACTGCACAGCGGCGACGGCCCCCTGCCTTTCCCCTCCCCAGCAGTGAGGATGCCGGGAGCGCCAACGGCCTTGGCCTCGCTCTTTCTCTCCCCACCCCCACCCCCACCGCCGCCCGGAACCCCTTGGGCAAGAGCATGAGTGGAGGAGGAAGAGATGGCCAAGGAAACGACCTAAAAGTTCCTGCAAAGAGGGACGTGCAAGAACGAGACCGTCGTTGGAGGGGAAGGCGGTGAAGACCCTGCGCAGACACAGGGGCGCCTGAGAGGCCTGGGCAGCAAGACCGGAGGAGGGAGGACGGGGGGGGGGGGGGGGGGGGGGAAGAGGAGGAAAGGGGGGGGGGGGCGTTCAGCAGGCGATCGGACCCAAACCAGGAACGACCCGGTCTCACTCAGCCGGGCTGTGCAGTCCGAGGCGGGGCGGGAAGGTGTGCGCCAAGTCCAGCCGCGGCTAACGGGGTAAACTGAGGCCCCAAGAGGCCTGGCCCGTCCCCAGAGAGGACAAAGCGCCGGCGGGTCGGGGCCGGCGGCCTCACCTGGTTGTAGGAGACTTCGGGGTGCTGGTTGGGGGCCGGCACCACCTGGGTAGCGGTGGCGGACAGGAGGCGGCGGCCCAGGCGCGGCCCGAGGCCCGAGGCGACGAGCAGAGCTGCGCGCAACATGCTGCAGGCGGAGCGGCGGCGGTGGCGAGAGGGCTCGCGGCCCCACAGCCTCTCCCCGCCCCGGCGCGGCCGCCAACCCGCAGGCGCGGAGCGGGGCGCGGGGGGCGGAGCTGCCCCGAGGGAGGCCGCAGCGCCCGCGGAGGGGAGAGGTGGGGTGGGGAGGGGGATGGGGGCCCGCTGCCCTCCCAGGCGCGCCCCCTCTGTGCCCCGCACTCCTCCGGCGCGGACCCGCGTGTGCGGGGTCACCGACCTCGCGATTGCTGCGCCTGAGCCTACTGTGTACGGGCCTGAGCCGAGCGCCCCTGTCCTCACTTCCGGGGCCTTCCACTCCAGTGGGGGAGACCGAGGTTCAACCGAAGGCGAGCGGTTTCAGATGGCGACAGGGATGGGAAGGGAACGAATAGGGTGAAGACGGGGTTGGAGTTTAGATCCCACGGTCAGGAAGTGACATGTAAGACCTGGATTGTAAGTTAAAGATCTAAGATCATTGCAAGGGGAGGAGGGGAAGGAAACAGCGGGTCCATGGGCCTGGAATTGGGATCACCCAGGCACGTGTTAGAGAAATGGAGAGAACAGAGCCAAGTGAATTAGGGGAGAGTGATGGGAGGTGAGGTGAGGAGAGGTGGGCAGGGCCGAGGCAGATAGGGCCTTGGAGGCGATGGCAAGGAGTTTAGAACGGAAGGATGACTTAATTTGCATCTTAAGCTTACTGATTTCAGTCTGTGGAGAAGGGACTACAGAAAGGCAGGGATGGAAGTTAGGGTCTTGCAAGCTGTTTTATTCCATGGACATCCAGGAGCTGAGCACTGAGGATGCTGGAAGGAATGAGATGTATTGAATAGTGAGGGGGATGGGTACTTGTCCAATGTGTGCATTCCAGCAAGATAACTATCAGCAAAAGCCCAAGGAAGAGATGAAGAAACCTGGCAGGAGGTTTTGACAGCAGAGGAGCAGAGGAAAGTGTCTGGGTTGTTGTTTGAGGCTCCAACTCCTGGACTGAGGTCAAAGAGGTGGACCAAGGCCCAGCTATGACTTACCAGGCAAAGGTCTCTCCCACTAGAGAGAGAGAGAGAGAGAGAGAGAGAGAGAGAGAGTGAGAGTGTGTGTGTGTGTGTGTGTGTGTGTGTGTGTTCTTGTTCCCTTGAAAGCGCTAATGTGATTACCAAAAGGATATCATAACAGTCAACAGCTGCCAAACTACTAAGCCATGAAAGTCCAGGGCCTAACCACAACCCAGTCCCTGTTCCCATTGAGCCTCACGTTCCCGTTCCCCTCATGTCAACACCAGAGTCACAACCAAAGTGACAGCCAGTGGAGAAAAAGTGACAGCCAGTGGAGAAAAAGGCACATGGGAAAGTTTGTGGGCTGAGCCGTTTCATCAGCTAGAACTCAGTCCTTTCTATTCCTCCACGTAGAGGATTCTGGGGAAGTCAGGCCATATGCCCAGAGGAAGGGGGAATAGGTGAAGCAATTCCCTCAAAGAAGTCAAGTATGCAATGCAAAGCAGACTAGGGGGACAGTCCCCGCCCCGGTCTAACCTGAAACGGGCCCATTGTTGGCCAGATCCCCGTGGATTATGAGATTGGCAGACATTAGAGAATTATGAGATTAGGCCCTAACAGCTCCAGGCTTACCACCGCATGCTACCTGGCTCCTGGGCATCCATTTCTGGAGGAACTCAGACCTCAAGTGAGTGAGCATTACTGCTCTCTTCCCAGGGGAGGACTCTGCTCTACATTGTAATGGCGTCAAATCTGCCACCTCCCCTCCCCCAGCATGTTCTGGCTACGGAGTGGATGGGGCTGTGGAAGGCACAGGGGTCCTCAGAAAGCCATGGTTCTTTGGTGACGTTCACATGACCAGTGGTGGCGGCCCACGTGTGGGCAATGCACTGGGCAGGATCCTGTGTATACACAAGTGTGAGGAGACAACAGACTCTGAGACAGAGGGCTGGAGTGTGAACCTTTATTCACTCTTTTAAAATCTTTATTGTTGAAAGTATTACTTGTCTCCTTGAACCTTTATTCTCAATTCCTTTTTTATTACATATAGACATGCTTGAAGTCTCTGAGATGTATTTTCTTATTCTTTTGTGTTCCCAAAGCCCCTTTACAAAATATCTTAATTAGTGTTCTGTGCTGTGGATATTCAAACAAAGAAAATCAGGTGGCAGTGGCTTAATGATTTCGGCTTCATTTTCCCAGCAGCCATCAGCCTGGGTCTTCAGATGCAGCCCATCACGGCTGCCCCTCTGCTCAAGGGGAGGGGTCCCGCAGAGCAAGAAGCCCTCCGTATCGGAGTGCAAGCACAGGTACACCATCCAGCAGGGCTCCTACTATTTACCCAGATCCCCACACCTTAGCACACATGCCAGAGAGAGAGAGGGCGCAGGGGCCGCCTGCCAGCACTGAGGCTGCAGACCAGCTTCCCAGGCTCTGTCCCGACCCCCAGCTCTCAGCCAGTGCCCTTCCTCCTGCCTGACACCAGCTTCTCACAGAAACGCCTCCTGTGGGGACCCAGAAAGGTGTGTGCAGTGACTGCCCCAGGATACAGCTGCCTACAGGGTGCAAAAATCACATGTATCAGGCCTTTCAAAACGCATGATTGATTTTTTTGGGTGTCTCGGCTGGCTGTCTCCTGCTGACCTGCAGCCTAAATGCGGTTCTTCAACTCCATCTTGGCCACCGCCGCCCGGTGCACCTCGTCGGGGCCATCGGCAAAGCGCAGCGCTCTGGCCCAGGAGAAGAACTGAGCCAGCGGGTAGTCGCCGCTCAGCCCTGCTGCTCCGAAGGCCTGGCAGACAGGACAGGAGGGAGGGGAGCCCTGGTGAGCCTCATCTGAGAGCCCGGGAACCGTGGCCTGCACAGAGTGGCTCCGAACAGCCATCTTCCAGGGAGCCCCCACACCTGTGTGACAGGCCTGTGGAAGACTTCAGATGGGGCCACACCTGCCGTCCCACGGACATGCCCCCTCACAATCCCCCCCGGCCCCCCCCCCCCCCTGGTAAATAACTTCTGCCACCGGGAAGGCTCTATGTTGGGGCCAGGTGTGAAGATTTGGGAAGGAGACATCCCGCCTGGTCAGGAGGCAGGCTCTGGTGTAACAAGGACCAAGTTCCCATAAATGTGAGATCAGCTCCCTCCAAGCCCAGTAACCCTGGCCAAGCCGCTTCACTCTCCTGTGCCTCTGTTTCCTCATATTGTGATTGGGAGTACGAATGTGGCCGACCTTGCAGGGTTGTCCCGAGGCAAAAAAGGAAAAGTTCATGCATGGTGAGTGTGTGACAACAGGCGACTGTTGGGAGTTTACAGGAGGTGGGGCGGCCGAAGGTGAGGGAGCTCGGCATGTGTTGTGAGCGGTACAAAGAGCCCTCGGTCCACAGTCTGTGCTCACCTGAACAGCGCGATCAATCACGCGGTATGCCATGGATGGGGCCACCATTTTAATCATAGCAATATCTAATGCTGCAGCCTGCGAGAAAAAGGAGATGAGAGATGGGCAGACCCCGGGGCAGAATGCTTAGAAGAATAAACAGTTTCACGGGAGCTGCAGAAACATTGGCCAGACAGAGGCCTGAGTTCCAGCTGGACCACAAGCTCCGTGAGGCAGCCCGTGCCCAGACCTGGGAGGAGGGAAGGCGCAGTGGTGGGGACTGTGATGGTGACTCAGGACGTGGTGAGGTGTGAGCAGGTGCCTGGTCAAGGACAGACTCGGGCACGCAGATGTCTTCCCAGATGGGGAGCATCACCAGCTCACTCTGAAGACAGCCTGGGGAGTGGCTTGTGCTTCGATCACAGTGTCAGCCAGCTCCGTCTCCAACCTGACAGTGGACCTAGACCAGTGTTCCGCAAACCGCGGCTTGAGAGCCACATGCGGCTCTTTGGCCCCTTGAGTGTGGTTCTTCCACGAAATACCACGTGTGGCGTGCACATACAATGCGATTGAAACTTCGTGGTCCCTGCACAGAAGTCAGTTTTTGGCTCTCAAAAGAAATTTCAATCGGACTGTTGATATTTGACTCTGTTGAATAATAAGTTTGCCGACCACTGAGCTAGATCAACCAGGTCTCTGGAGACCAAGCTCTGTGTTGGGGTATTGGCACCAGGCCCGAGAGCCTCCACCAGACCCAGCACCAGAGCACCAAGGAGCTGGGCATTTGAGCCTGTGTCATCCCCCCTCATTACTGAGGCCTCCTGGCTAAGGGTTAAAGGCTGTCCCATGGAGAGCTGGAGAGGGCAGAGGTCAATGTAGGCATCGTGCCATTCAAGGCGCTCAGAAAGCCATTTGAGGAATAATGTCAGGCTTGAAAATAAAGCTGCTCTTGTGGGGCATTCTTAGCCTGCCTGGTGCCTGCACTCACAGAGCCTCATAGCCTGGGCTGGGGCAGAGCTGAGGCCAGGGGGCCGTGTGACCCTGTCAGGCCCACTATCTTGGGTCCAGTTCACTGGCTGAGTAAATGGGAATCCCGGTCCTGGTTTAGTGTGCCCTTTCCATGTTTGAAAAGCTGCCCAAACAGTTCCAAGCAGAGTTGGAGCAAAGTTGTTAATGTCAAGAAGCCAGGCTCTTTCTCCAGGGGTTGCTGAGTGGGGAAGGAAGGCCAGTGGTTGTAGATTCCCAGAACCGATTCCCTCATGTGACCAACCTCCGGACCCATCATCTGTGAGGCCCCCTGGCCTCCTACCTTATTTCCTACCACATCCATGAGGTGCGCAGCTTTCAGCACCAGCAGCCGGGCCTGCTCAATCTCCACGCGTGACTGGGCGATGTCTGCCAGGACCGTGCCCTGCTCCACCAGGGGCTTCCCAAACGCCACCCGGGACTTCACCTGTGGACACAAGAGGCCCAGCCTGAGTCACCCACAGAGCAGGTGTGTGGAGTGCACAGGAGAGGCAGGGAGTGGAAGCAGGAGTGTGTAGCTCAGCCAGTTTGCCAGCCTCTAGTCACAATCCATTTCCAGGGAGAGGATCCAGACGTAGACAGCATTCGTGTACACTGCAGAGCCAGTCAGCGTGGTGGCTGCACAGGTTACTTGCAGGAATTCCTTTACTCTGGCAATACAGCCCCTTCTGGGTGCCAGACAGGAATGGTTCTTTTGGATCGTAGCCAGCATCTGGCCCAGGGCTATTCTGAGAAGTAGGTGATGACTATGGACATCTCACACAGGAGAGGGAGGGTGTCCCCTGCTGACCAAGGCCCAGCTTTCCATCTGGGTGCTGTGGTGGGCAACTGTTATTGCAAAGGACACCAGGAATCAGAAAAGCCTCTAAGCAATTCTTTTAGATTGTTGTTAGTTTAGTTTTCATTTTTTAAATTTATATATAATTTTATATATATATATATATATATATATATATATATATATATATATATATATATATATAAAATATACCTCATGGCAGAAAAAGTATAAATTTTCAGACAAAAATAGAAACACCTGCTAGCCCATCATCTAGTTACTTATAGTGGTTATTTGGTGGCTATTCTTCTAGGCTTTTTATATGTATCCTATATAATAAAGCCTAATATGCTGTGTCTGGTCATTCATTCAACCAATCAAAGCGTAATATGCTAATGATATGCTAAAGCCACTCAGCCACTCACTATGTGATGTGCACTGACCACCAGGGGACAGACAGTTGACCAACCAGTCGCTATGACATGCACTGACCACCAGGAGGTAGACGCTCTGACCAGTAGGTTAGATTGCTACTGGGATCCAACTGATCAGGACTGAGCAAGATGGGCTGGACACACCCTGAAGCCCTCTCACAGTCCCTCCCTAGCTGGCCAATCTCCTGCATCCCTTAGCCCTGATCATGTACCGGTGGGATCCCTCAGCCTGGCCTGCGCCCTCTCGCAATCCTGGGCCCCTCAGGGGATGTTGGAGAGCTGGTTTCAGCCAATCCCGCAGGCCAAGCCAAGGAATCCCACTGGTGCATGAATTTGTGCAGTGGGCCTCTAGTTTTTAAATAAAAATGGAGTCATACTCTATTGCTTTGTAACCTGCTTCTTTTCATTTAAGAGTATATAGTGAACATCTATGTTAAGAAATAGATTTCTACAGATTCATTCTGGAGTTTCTGTGCATGCCTGTACTAGGGTTTATCTGACCAGGCTCTAATTATTAGTCTTATAGATTGTTCCCAACATTTTGTTATTATGTTCAGTGCTGTGGTGAACCTCCTAGTATCAAATCTTTTGTAGACTCCTAATTAGTCCCTTGCGGCCAAGTCCTGCGTGTGCAGCTGCCACGTTAGTGCCCTGCCCCTCCTGAAGACGTGGGACACAGACTGCTCTATAGTGAGGCTGGTCTGCATTCCAGTGCAGGGTGGGGCTGGGGTGCCATTCTGAGCCCTTAGAGAAGAGCTTTTTATTTAGGAGGAAAAAAACGGTCAGTCTCAACTCAAAAGGCTGTAAATCACAGAGGCTTGCTCAGTAATCCAAGTGCACTGCATTGCCTCTGATCTTCGTGTAGTTTCTTATGAGAGATTTGTTTGGTCTCAAGGGTTGGCTTCAACTTTGCGAAATCGATACCGCTGATGTAAATGCTCACTCCCAGCAAAAGCTCTCCGCTGCGTGGACTTCCAGTCCTTGAGGGGGGTCACCCCCTTGAGGGGGTCCCAACAGAACAGTTTTCTGGACATGCTCAGGGAAGAGGATGGTGCAGGGCTAGCTGCTGGAACTCCAGGGACATAAGCCACTGACGAGGTTCTTTCAGGTATCTCATTTTTAAAGATGAGTGAGTGGCAGGAATGGCCCTTGGCAGCCTGTGACCCTTTGGATCTTGCAACCTTGCCCTCTGCCGCTACAGAGGCCAGCCTTTTCCTTCTGGCCGCCTCAACAGAGTAAGATCCATTCTACTCCGACTTTCAAACTTGAGCAAAGTAGCAGATGCAAAGCAAAGACAAGGACACAGCTTCCTGGCAAGAACATCACCTTGCTTCACCTGCTAAGTTGGCTCTCAGAAAACAGTTAGGATTTAAGGTCCGATAGCAAAAGAGGCAGTAGGCTCTGGGACAGATCCAGGCATAAGGGAAAGAAGCACTCACACGGGCTTTCATGAGCGCCAGGGCCCTCTCCGAGTGCCCGATCAGCCGCATGCAGTGATGGATCCTGCCGGGGCCCAGTCGGCCCTGGGCGATCTCAAAGCCGCGACCAGGGCCCAGGACCATGCTGTCCTTGGGCACGCGCACCTGCTCAAACACGACTTCACCGTGGCCACCTGAAAGATCCAAACGGTTCCTCCTGAGAGATCCGCCTGCCTATCATGTTGGGTGTGTTTATCCCTTGCCTCAGTTTAAGTCATCTGTTGGCAACTTTCCTGCCTTTTACTCAGCCTTCCAACTGGGGCATGGTTGGGGAATAAGGCAGGAAGGAGCCTATCAACGATGGAAGAAGAGATCACTGATTTACAATATCAAATGAACAGTCTGCCATTCCTCTTCTAAATGTAATGACTACTGTAAGTGAACCTTCCTTACAGAGTATGGGACTCTAACGTAGTGACCCCTCAGTCTCTGAAAGGGAACACGTGAATGCTGTTAGCAGACAGAAGAGGGCCTCCAGCCTAGTCAGCTGACCGCCGGCGTCTCGAAGAAGTTTGGAGTGCACTTCCTACACTGTCCTGAGTGACCATTTATCTCACAGATTCTGGCTTATCTTCTAAGTTTAGAAGAGGGAAAGAAAACCAATCATAAATGCCTGTATGAAATTTGTCGACATGGTGGATATTTTGGAAACGAAAGGCAGGAGCACGTGGCCCTCCAAATGTCATCATGCCCTACAAGTGCTGCATCCAGATGTTTCCCAGGCCCAGACTGAAACACAGACAGAGGGGGCTGGCACTAACCTGGTGCATCATCCAGCCCATACACCGTCAGAGGCCGAATGACTTTTATCCCCGGGGTGTCCATGGGAACCAAAAGAATGGATTGCTGCTGGTGGCGTGGGGCCTGCGGGTCTGTTTTCCCCATAAACACGCAGAGTTGGCAGCGAGGATCCAGGATGCCTGCCCGGAAAGGAGAGAGACAGGCCCTCGCCATCTGACGCCAAGGCCATCAGATCTCTTCACAGACGCAGTCCTGGTCCAGGAAAGCTGAAGCCAGCAGCCGACAGAGCTCTTTAAGATTCACATAATCAAATGACTACGTGCAGGTCTGGACCAGGAATGAGAGTGGCTGGTTTTCATCCCAGTGAGGAATAAATCCAACATCATAAAGAGCAATTAAAAAAAAAAAAATAGCGCCATGCAGAATTAAAAAACAAAGACAAGAGGCAGAAAACTGGTACTCGGTCCCTGGCAGCTGTTCTGCTGTTCCCACAGTCAGCATGAACATAATAGCTTTGGGCACGGGATTCAGAATCAGGCAAATCCTGAACTCTGGATTCCCTACTTCCTTGGCAGGGGGAGTTGGTACCTTACATCACTTCTCTGACCTAGTTTCCTCCCCTGTAAAGTGGGGATGACGACATGGGGAGGTGTGGGACTCAGTGAGGTACGGTTCACGCAGCACCCATGGAGGGCCCTGCAGATCAGCTTGCGATGAATGGCGGGTTATCGTTAGCTTTCTGATGTAGCCTCTGACCTCGCAGCAAGGAGAAGTCACGGAGGAAGTGACCTTCTGCCTCTCCGAGGGCAGGAGGAAGAAAGCGGAGGGAACGGGTGAGAGATTCCTAGAACTGTCGCCGGTGTGGTCATCCCGGCCCACGCAGAACCTCCGGTTCTCCTGGGGTTGGCTGGGAGCAGAGACAGCATCTCTTTTGCATCAACTGAGACTGAAGCTGCTATCTTTCTTCAGCAGGGCAGCGAGAGACATGCTCATCGCACAGACCCACCAAAATGTGGCTGAAAATACCTGTGATCCACCACTTGCGACCATTGATGACGTAGCAGTCACCCTCCTCTCTGATGGAAGACTCAATGTTGGTGGCGTCTGATGAGGCAACCTGAGTGAGAGCACACTCTGCTTAGGGATGGCAGGGTTCCCCACGCGGAGTCCACGTGGGGCCTGGGAGGTGTGGCCCCATGAGCCCCTGTGGGTGGTACCTGAGGCTCCGTCATAGCAAAGCAGGAGCGGGCCTTCCCCTCCAGCAGCGGAGTCAGCCAGCGGGCCTTCTGCTCCTCGGTGCCGTAGCGCACCAGCAGCTCCATGTTCCCCGTGTCTGGGGCAGAGCAGTTAAATATCTGAAAAGGAAATGCCTAAAGGTGACTCCCATGTCCATGTTTAACCCTCCATATACCCAGGGCATCTTCCAAGTCACAGGCCCTCTGACACCCTGAACGAAAGTTCTTCCTCTCCCCAGAGAAACACAAAGATACAGACGTTCTGCCCCCCACCTCTAGGAGAAGTTACGTTTGTATCTGGGCTCCTGAGTCCAGCCCAAGCTGGAGGAAACGCCACCTGCCCAGAAGGAAGACCCACAGGCTATGGAGGACAAGGGCATCCTCACGCGCGGAGAACGTTAAAGAAAGTACCTCGGGAGCATACAGAGACATGCCCATGAGTTCACAGAGATGCGCATACTCGACATTGGTCAGTCCTGCTCCATATTTTCTCTCGGGATCAGTCTCCAAGGGTAGGAAAAGGTTCCAAAGTCCTTTGGCCTTGGCTTTCTCCTAGCATGGGAAAAGTAAGTCAGGGGAGCACAGTGGATGGCTTAGTTTCATTTTGGCCTTTGAAAATAATGAAAGGGACCAGAGGGAAGAGGGAAGACAGGCAAAGAGGAGGTATGTGCCAAAATAATGATGTGAGTCCGCACCATCGGGTTGGAGCTGGAGCTCCGTCATAAGCCTGAGGAGACCTGAGATGGCCAAGTCCTGGCATGACGACAGTTCATTCCCCCAGTCTGCACTTTCCAGACTCTCCCGTGCCCCACGTGCCATCACTGTTGGCATTACTAATGTCATGACAAATCTGAGAACATGCTCCATGTGGACAGGAGACTGGAGGTTCCTCAGCATGCCTCTAGGGACCTGGCCCAGTACACATGTCTGCAGCCGCAGTGGCTCTGCTCTGGTGCATGAGGAGAACCCTGAACCAGCATCTACTGTCTTCTGAGGCTGGACCTTCAGCCCCCCCTGTTCATTTTAGCACTTACTAATAGCCTTAGCTCCTTAACTGACCCCGAGCTGGCTTCTGTGACTTATACCAAGATTGTAGGCTGAGACACCAGTGTCCCTCAGGCAGGCAGACAGCAGACAAATTATGGTGCTCCCACACTGCAGAACCTCTTGGAGGTCCATCTCCAAGCGCTGGCATGCAAAGGTGATATATCGTAGAGTTAAATAAGCAAGCAGGAGATTCGAATATATAGGATGACTCCATTAAAACATAGGAATAAGCCCAGCCAGCATGGCTCAGTGGTTGAGCATCAACCTATGAACCAGGAGGTCACGATTCGATTCCCAGTCAGGACACATGCCTGGGTTGTAGGCTCAATGCCCCCAGTAGGGGATGTGCAGGAGGCAGCCAATCAATGATTCTCTCTTATCATTGATGTTCTATCCTTCTTTCCTCTCTGAAATCAATAAAATATATTTAAAAAAACACATAGGAATAATAACATATGTTAGTATATGTTAGAAAAAAGAAGTTGGGAGCCTAATACATCAAATTGTTGACAGTGATCATCTCAAAGTGGGGAGGGTTTTAGAGAGCTCTTTCTGTTATGTCCTTTGTCATGTTTGAGCTTTTGGTTAATTTTGCAATAGGTTTGTAATTAGAAAAAAAAAAAGTGCTAATGCTATTTTTTAAAAAGCAGATGATGGCTGTATCATAGGCAAATATGTGCTCCTGAAGATCTCAACTTAAAAACTAAGACCAGTCAAGACCAATCCTGACAGAACAGTGGGTGTTTCTGTTTTTCAGCTAAAGTGGTGCCATCATGTGACAAGAGCACAAGCAATAACTGATTTGGCCCTTTAGCTTTGACATTATACATTTTTTTTTTAATATATTTTTATTGATTTTTGTACAGAGAGGAAGGGAGAGAGATAGAGAGTTAGAAACATCGATGAGAGAGAGTCATCGATGAGCTGCCTCTTGCACACCCCTTACTGGGGATATGCCCGCAACCAAGGTACATGCCCCTGACCGGAATCGAACCTGGGTCCCTTCAGTCCCCAAGCCGACGCTCTATCCATTGAGCCAAACCGGTCTCTGGCGACATTATACATTTTTTAGAGAGGCTTTATTAACTGATGTATGTAATATCACTGTTTCAAATTTACTCATTCAAATATGCATAATAAGCCCTCCTGCCCGGAGTCATGAACCACAGACCAGGAATGGAGGTGGTGGACAGCAAAGATAGTTCAGCTCAGCCCTCTCTCTTCACTGCCCGGGGGGTGGAGGGGGGGCGGTAGGGGGACAGATCTGCCCGGTGAGCGAGCTGACTTCTGCCCCTTTGACAGAGTCTTGCTGACTCCTGAACAGCTGCTTTACCTTGAGATCTTCCACCAGGGGGGAAGGGGTCCATCTCTCGGCGGAGGCCTGGTGACGTTGCAGCTCTGGCTCAGCAGGGTACACGTATTGATCCATGAACTGCTCCAGCCGCTGGTATAGCTCCCTGACTGGTGGGGAAAGGCCCTCTGGAGAGATAACCAGAGCTCCCTTTGAGGCATGAGCCGAGGAAGGTTCTGGAAGGGAGGTATAACTCCTCGTTCCTGGGGTGCTCGGCAGAGACCGTGGACCAGCCCACGTGTGGTAGGACCTTGTTAACGGCTTTGCGGCCGGCATCTCTTTGAAAATCCGGAACCCTTCTTTGACTGCAAACTCCCAGGCCAAGTTAGACATAAACTCAGTCATCTTTCCACTTTGTTCAGCAGTTGCCGAGCTTGCTTGCCCTAAGCAAAGAAAAACAGTGATTATTCCCAAATCGCACTTAATAATACTATTAACTCGCGAGAATATTGTTATTATTTGAGCAGCTACTATCATTTGCTGAGCACTTGCCATGTACAAGACATGGTGTTAAGTGCTTTACATGTATTATTATAGCTTATTGGATTCCTGGAGCAATGTGACGGTTTTAATCATCACTTTTAGACAAGGATTTGCCTCTGAGAGGGAGGAAATGTGCCCACGCTTTCATTAGTGGGCTGGGAGCCTGAAGTCCATCTCGGCTGGCGTATTTCCTGCTCTTTCTCTCTTTTCCTAAAGAAACTAGACCAGTAACACTTCTGTCGCCCACGCCCTGTGTTACCCTGAGCTGCCCGTGCTGTGAAACTGGTAATAAGTGTCACCAGTGGTTAGATTAATGGCAGTTTCTGGGCCCATTCTGTTAGATCAACATCATCACCAGCATCACAGAACTCCCTCTAGTCAAGCTCTCACATCTTTCTTTAATATGCTCAAGACTTCTTTTAAAAAGGATTAAAAATTTTTAAATTAAGGTATAGTGTACATACACCCTCTTTATGAAGTGTATAATTCTGGGAGTTTAGTCCGGTAACCACCACCTTACCAAGACACAGAATACTCCCATCATCCCTACTGTCAATGTCCCTTTATACCCAATCCTGTACCCCCGCCCTGGTAACACTTGTCTCTGTCCCTATAGTTTGTCTCTTCCAGAATGTCACTTAAACATCATAGGGTACACGTCTTTTCAGTGAGGCTTCTCTCAGTGCTCGGCACGGAGGCCCATCCATGTTGCTGTGTGGACACTGCCTCCTGGTGGCGGGATCTTTTACAGCCGGCTCTCCTGGATGGATTTCAGCATTTCCATGCTCTAAGACAGCAGTCGCCAACGGTGATCCGTGAGGCCCGAATGGTTGGCGACCGCTGCTCTAAGAAACTGATTCCCTGATTCTCTTTGAACCTTCACCGAGGCCTGTTTTTCTTCTGGCTCCTGCCATGGCCAACTTCTCAAAAGAGCCATTTCATGCAGCTTTGGTGTTAAAGATATGCTGTTCCTTACAAATTAGGAACCACGTCCATTTGCTATGTAGCAGAGCGCAAACCACAGGACTGCATTTCCCCCTCATTACTCAGACTCTACATGCCACCTTGAAAGATGATCACATTTTTATAAAACTTGGAGAGAGTGAGAAAAGGTAGACATATAGAAAAAATGTTGTGACCCAAGAAACTCTTAACAATAGTGTTTACCTTTGAGGAATGGCGCTAAGAAAAAAATAATTTTGTATCATTCTATACGATTGAGTGCTTATCATGTATGTTTTTACTTTAAAATATTTATGTATGTTATCTCAGAATTTAAAGTTTAAATAGTTTAAAGAACAAAACCATATGATATATACTCAATGACAAATGGTTGAATTAACGGAATCTTAAAGATTCTGGCCCTCTGGTGCCTCTGTGGGTCTCCAGGGGAGAAGCTGATTGGGACCCTCACCGACTCTCCCAGGCCACCCCATCACCTGTGAGCGAGCGCTTGTAGACTCCCTGTAGGATCGCAGCCACTCGGAAAAAGGAGAAAGCCATGTAGAAGTTCCAGTTCTCAGTGGGAGGGATCCCCATGTGGAGACAGTACATCCTGAAATACTCCTCTGCAGTAGGGATGCCCAGCTGAGTCAGATCACAGTCACTCAAACCTGTGGGGACAGAGCCATCCTGGGCAGTCAGTGACCCCCCCCTTTCCTGTGGCCACAAGAATTTACATTTTGAAAATCACTTCCTCTCCTGGAAGTTAGCTTCCCAGCCAGTTCAAAGGGTCAGCTCATTATTTCAAGGGCTCTTCCTCCCTCAGATGGCTGGAATCCAGGCATGAGGCTATTAGTCCCAAACTGGCTCTTGAAAGTTTCAGGCTAAATTGGCAGTAAGAGAAGGAATGAGGAGCTTCTAACTCCATCTGGACCACAATTCAGTGTGGATGTATATTACTTTTGATCATTTGATGAAGAATGATATTGAGAGAAAAATCCCACCAAATTATGAAAAAGAAAATTACAACGCATAAAACATTTTATAGATCTGCTTCATTTGTAATATTTTCATGGTTCTGAAGCATGTAATATATTCCATTCCTAGGAATTTATCCTAGAAGTATGCCAAATACACACACACACACACACACACACACACATTTGTTTTTTCATTTTTGTTTGTTTTGTGTTTTTTAATCTTCACCCGAGGATACTTTTCCATTGATTTTTATAGAGAGTGGGGGAGAGAGGGAAATACAGAGAGACATATTGTTGTGAGAGAAACACATTGATTGTTTGCCTCCTGCAAATGCCCGTATCAGGCCCTAGGATAGGGAGGAGCACAAGGTATGTGCTCTTGGCCAGAATCGAACCCAAGACCCTTAGGTCCGCAGGTCGATATACTATTCATTGAGCAAAACCAGTTAGGGCTAGATAAGTAAATATATTAATACAAAGTTGTTCACTACTTTTTTTGTGAAGACAAGGGGTAATATATAAAATAAAATTAAAAAACTGGAAAAAAATTAAATATTCAAAGAGGAGTCAAACCAAGTGTTTTGTTTAAGTTAATTCTATATGATAAAATCCTATGCCATTATTAAAAATGAGTCTGTAGAAGAAATACTTAATGACATGAAGACATGTCCAAAATATATAATTAAGTGAAAAAGCAAGTCATGAAATCATATAATTACATTTTCATCTAAGTAAATGTATGTATACACGGAGAAAAAAGATGGCAAGAATGAAAAGATTGGCAGTGGTTATCTCTCGTACCACTGATGATTTTCAACTTTAAGTAAACCTGTATTTTTAATGTTAGAAATTAGTTGTATAGAAGCATAAGCAGTCCCCGTGTGTAAATCCTTCTCACTTTATAGTTTCTCTGCATCCACTTCCGCCCTTTGTGACAAGAATGCTTCCCAAAGACATTTTCCACCCAAACCACCAGGACCTCAATTTCTGAACAAGCCCAATCACAGCTCCTTCTGAGGCATGGGGCCCAACGCTTTGGGAACGGAGCTGGCTGAATCCCTCCCTCTCCCCGTGAGCAGCTCCTACCTCGCAGCATGGGAAAAGTGGGCGGCAGGTAGTGAGCCATGCAGCTGTAGGCCACGTCCGAAAGGGGGTCGCCCAAGGTGGAGAGTTCCCAGTCAAAGACAGCAAGCACCTCGGGCTTCTCTGGGTGGAACAGCAGGTTGTCCAGCCTGAGTAAGCCAAGAAGGAACGGAGAGACGGCGCTAAGAAAAGGGATCACCAAGGGTGTGCCCTGGGCTGGGCATTTTCTCCCGTGGCCCCTCTGTGCCTCTGGAGCCTGAGCTGCAGGGGCTGTGGTTATACCCTCCTGCTCCCTTGCCATTTGGCTCAGCTGGGCTCAGCCAATGGGACCCCGGCAGGAGATGGGAAGGGGCCGGCGGTATTCCTCTCTCACAGGCCATGGCTTTGGTCTGGTAGCCCTCTCTACAGAGCTAACCCCTCTGGGACCTGGTAGTTCCTCCCTCCCTGTGACGGTTTCAGAGCAGGTCTGTAAGTTCTTTGGCATCCCTTCCACAAAAGAAAGACTCTAATGCTTTGCCTTTTGAAGCTCTCACTTCTAATAGATCTTCTGAGGTGTAGGTGATGCTGAGTGACTCCCAGACTAGGTCAGACTAGGTCAGGAACAGGGGCCTCCTGCCCGGCCCTCTCTCTCAGAACACATGCCTCTGGAGCCTGAGCCTCCCGGTAAGAAGCCCCGCTACCCAGAAGCTGCCATCCTGGAAGCCCACGTGGGAAGCCACCGAGAGACAGAGGCCGAGAGTCTAGCTGATCGGTCTCCTCAGCCCTGGCCAGGCACGTGAGTGAGCCTTCTGGGCCCAGCCCCGAGCTTCACAGTCACCTCGGCGGAAACAAGCTCTCTGCCCCAGACAGCAGATTTGAAAAACTGCTGTCATTGTTTGTAGTCAGTGTTGGAGGAGTGGGTTATACAGTAAGAATAACCGGAGCAGCCAGAACCTTCGGACTGAAGGGTCCCAGGTTCGATTCTGGTCAAGGGCATGTGCCTTGGTTGCAGGCACATCCGCAGTGGGGGCTGTGCAGGAGGCAGCTGGTTGGTGTTTCTCTCTCATTGATGTTTCTGACTTTCTATCCCTCTCCCTTCCTCTCTGTAAAGAAATCAATAAAATATATTAAAAAATAAAAAAACTAAATAACCAGAGCACAGGCTTGCACCTTCACGCCTATGTGTAGCAATAACCCCGGCAGTTGCAGAGAACAGCCCCCCATCCCACGCCAGCATATAGAATTAGCTGGCCTTAAAGGCCAGGCACAGGGAGAGCCTAGGTAATGGGAATAATTCACAACCGTAGATTGGGTCAAGCTGCTTAATTTCCCCTTAAGATGTCCTTCCCATCACTTTCACATCTAAGCATCAACCGCTCATCGCATCTACCTGAAGTCCCCGTGCACCACCGCGGTCCTCTCCTGCCTGGGAAGGTGCAGCGGCAGCCATTCGATGAGCCTCTCCATCGCCGGGATGGTGCTGGTCTCTGAGGCTCGATACTGCTTAATCCAGGTCTGCACCTGGCGTGGAATGTAGTCCCCTGAGGGAAAGAGGGTTAGAGCAGGGGGTGCCGCTCCAACAATCTCCAAAGGTTTCAAAAACTACCCGGGCCGTGAAACCCTCTGCCATGTCCTGTAGCATCCTCCTCCTATGATTGGGGGATATCCCACAGGTCAGTTCCAGGTGAGAGCCACCGGCTGTTTTGTCTTGGCTCCGTCTGTGTGATCTGGGCATTGTTCCAGCCACGTGGCCTCTCCCTGGCCCTATGAGCTTCTCTCAGAGGTCCTATGAGCTTCCTGATAGCCGTTAGGAAATCCCTTTTTGGCTAAACAGTGGTTGGCTAAGAGCATGGACATTGGGGCCTGACTGCCTGGATCCAAATCTCAGCTCTGCTGTTCTCTGTGCCTTCGTGTATCCTCGGTGATGAGATGGTCCTCGTGGAGCTGTTGGGAGGGTAAAATGTGAAAAGCCCCTGAAGCTTTCCCTAGCATGGAGCAAGAACTACATCAGGATTTGCTAAGAAACCCAAGACACACAACAGTTGACGAACTTGTATGTTATATCTGGGCCTGGACAATGAAAGGGATTCAGGAGTGAACTTGGCTCACAGTCAAGGTCTCCAGTTGATTTAACTTCTCTGAGTCTTCCTCCCTTGCTTCCTCTCTCTGAGTGCATTGATACTAAGTTCTGTAGACTGTTGGGAAGGTATATTAAATACCATTGGCCAGTATTAGAATAGAGATTTAAATGACCTACTAAGATAGAAGTTGTAAGGAAGAGAATTTCCGTAGCCCATGAAGATTTCATCCTAGGATAAATGTCTGGGTAAGCAACCCCTCCATTAAAATGAAAGTGGATGTCCAAGTAGGAAGCTAGTAAGTCCACCTCATTGTTAGCAACTGCTTGGTGCATCAACACCCTGACACCATGCAAATCCCGAAAGCAGAGGCCACAGTGAGAAAACATTCAACAAGAAAGACAGGCAGCCTCGTGCTTACCATGTTTCCCGTAGCCTCCTAGGCCCACAGCCTTGAAATCCACACTGTGAATTTTGCACAAGACTTTGTTCATAGCCGTGTATATGGCCCGCCTCTGGCTGGGCTCCAAGCCTGGCAGAGAGGGGTCTTTGTAGATGCGGCCTGGGCAGTACTCCATCAGGTAGAAGGGCGTGCCAATGACCCTGGGAGGGACACAGACAGTGCGTCAGTGGCTCACAGGTGAAGGCTGTTGGTCATGGCACTGCTCTTTCTACACCACGTGTACACTGAGTGCTGGGGAAGGATTCGACCGAGGATACTGGACATTCCTTTTTCCTTTGTACATAAGCACAGGGGGGTTATACGTTCTCCCTCCCAAACCAATCCACACACACACAATCCATACATCTTGGCCAGCATGTCTCTCTTCTCTTTGGTCCGCATGTAGAAGCCACTGAAATGGGTTTAAGGATAATGACATCGGAAAGCAGCATGTTGAGAGGGGGGCTTTGGGGTCATATAGAATCTCTACTCCCTTCTAGTAGTGTGATTCTGAGAGATTTACTAAACCAGGGATTTTGTTTTTGTTTTTAAATATGTAAAACTTCAAAGAGCAATCTTATTAATTAAAAGAGCAAATATATATGGAGAGCCTGGCATATGCGTCTATTTCTAATGAGGGTTCAATAACTATCCCTTCTCCCTGCCTCCCTTTTTCTTTCGTTTTTATTGGGCTCTCCGTGTGCCACTCACACAGAAGCCCTTTTTTTAATGTCCCATCTTCTTGTTATTTGTACTATTATCCAGTGGTATGAATGGCACATCTACCACCCTATCAAGGTGACACACTGAAATGTCATTTTTTGGCCTTTTTAAAAATCAGTTTACTACTGTAAAAAGTTGTTTTGAAACTTCTACCATTATAACTTTATCCTGACTTGAACATGAGCTAGTTAAGTTATACTATTAAATTATATTTAATTATCTTAAGTGTAATAATGCTACTGTGTTTATAAAAAAAATTTTTTTACTTTTAGACATATGCTGCCTGCAACTGTAAAGGTTCAGCTAAAAATAATTTATATCTATATATACATATATAGATATACACATAAAATATACTTATTTATAAAATAATTACATATAAAAGAATATTTAATTATATTATGATATATTCAATATTTTACATATAATTGTTACTATTTATACAAATATAATCCACATACACGTCTATATTTGCATATACACATACACATATAGAAAGGAAATGCGGCAAAATGTTAACAATGTTTTAATCTAAATGAAGTATAGTTGGTCCGAAGGTTGTGGGTTATTGTTAAGCTGATTAATCTAAATGAAGTATAAATGGGTGCTCATTATACTATTATTTCTTTTTTTTTTTTTTTAACTATTTCTTCTTTCAATTCTTTCCATATGTTTCACAATTCTCATAAATTTAGGAAAAAGGGACAAACTCAAAAACATTGCAAAGCAGTTTAAAAAGTTTAGAAAAACTACAATAAAAGAATTAAACAAAAGCAAACAATATAAACTAGATAGGTATATATTTTTAGAATGTTAAAAAAAAATGTTTTGCCCTAGCTGGTTTGGCTCAATGGATAGAGCATTGCCGCAGACCAGAGTCCTAGGTTTGATTCCATTGGTTGCAGTCCCCTCCATGGCACGGGCCCTGGTCAGGGCTCAGATAGAGGCAACCTATTGGTGTGATTCTCTCACATGGATGTTTTTCTCTCTTTCCCTCTCTCTTCCACTCTCCCTAAAAACCAATGGGAAAATGTCCTTATGTGAAGATTAACAAAAAAAAAGAGAAAAAGATGTTTCCTACCAATTCTCACAAAAGCAGGCATTTCTTTATCTTTCAGGATAACTTAAAGATCTGTGAACTTCTGGGGAAGTTGCTATAGTCTCTTTTCTACCAAATTTATTTGTCCTTACTCTGACAAAACTGAGTTAGTGTACTGGCTTGTCTCTTTTGTAGGTTGAATAGACAATGGAAAAAATAAATCTGTTCCAGCTGGTGTGGCTCAGTGGTTTAGTGTTGACCTATGAACCAAAAGGTCACGGTTCAATTCCCGATCAAGGCACATGCCTGGGTTTTGAGCTTGATCCCCAATGGGAGCATGTAGGAGGCAGCTGATCAATGATTCTCTTGCACCATTGATGTTTCTATCTCCTTCCCCCTTCCCCTCTGAAATCAATAAAAATATGTTAAATAAATTGAAACATCACCTTGAATCTTCACAGAGGTCAAGAACTTTGGGGACAGGTACTCCAGTGCTCGCAAGGGCTTTCAAGATCCTGTCAGGACAAAGAAAAATGAGCACCACAGCTGGCGGGACTGATGAGACTTTCTTACAATTATTTTTCTCATTTAAAAATTAGTCCATGCAGCCGAAACCAGTTTGGCTCAGTGGATAGAGTGTCGGCCTGCAGACTGAAAGGTCCCGGGTTCGATTCCGGTTAAGGGCATGTACCTTGGTTACGGGCACATCCCCGGTGCGGGGTGTGCAGGAGGCGGCTGAGCAATGATTCTCTCTCATCGTTGTTTCTAACTCTCTATCCCTCTCTCTTCCCCTCTGTAAAAAATCAATAAAATATATATTTTTTTAAAAATTAGTCCATGCAGAAATTAAAATGTAATTCTTAAAAAATTTTCAATTGACCCAAAAGTAGGCAAGAAGAACATAAAACTGATGAAACACAAAAAAGAAATAGTGAAATTATAGGCCTACATCAAACAGTCAGTAATTCCATTAAGTTGAATAGACTAAACTCACATTGTCCATCTTTCTGCATCTTTCCTTCTGCAGAGCAGTAAGAACTGGGAGGAAGAGGAAACCCCATCCCAGAGCCCACTCCTTGCTTCAGTACTCACTCGCCAAGAGATTTAGAGCTAGTTTTGTGTAAACCTGCTACGTCTAAATTTTCCTGCCTCAAAACAAACTTTTTCATTTGGGATGAGTTATAATACTTTTATAATTTTCAACATTTTATTATGGAAATATCAAACATAAGTAAAGAGTTTCATGTTTAAAAAAAACAAAAAACCATCACTCAGTTCCAACAACAATCAACTCATGGCCATTTTTGTGTTGTAGCCTCACTAACATATTGTTTTTAAAACTAAAGGTTTTAGAGTCTTTAAGACCAAGGGTAAGACTAAAGAGTTCCTTAATAATGCATTTTTTCATCTAGAAGTTCCAAAGAAGTCTAGTCTCCTACAGGTTTAGGTATAGAAAAGAAAACAAACTTAAAAATGAAATTGGGTTACTGTTCTTACTTGAAGTAATTTTGGAGAGTCACACTTGTAGTTTTAAATGTCTCAAGGCACTTAATGGAATGCTGACTGGTGAGCTCAGGGCTGAGCTGTGAAGGGGGATGGCCCTGAGGATTTACCTGAATTCTCTCTCTACTGCATGGGCAGATGGAAGGAGTGTCCCTGGCGGTTTCTTTCTCAGAACCAGCTGGTGGCCAGCCAGCTTGATGTAGTACGTTGGATTTGACTGCCCGTGATCAAACTGAAGGAGTTCCAGCGGGCCTGCAAGTTTGAAAACAAAGAAAACTCAAACCAGCTCTGAAGGGCAGGTGGGGAAAGACATTCTTTCTTTCTAATGAGCCCAGAGTTTGGGATGCCCTGAAGGAATGGCACCATGCCCCACCAGTTCGGGTCCGGAATCGCATGCCACTACAGTGTGGCGAGGCCACTGGATTTACACTGCAATGATATCCTCACTCTGGACTTGTCCTTCTTGCCAACTCCTGCTCCATGAAGAAAAGCTCTTTAGTTGTGTTTATCAACCACAGGCAGTCATGGCAACCCATCTTGCTAAATGGAATGCTTGAAGCCGGAAGATGAAAAGTGTCCTTGTGTGTCCCTCAGCCCAGGCTCAGCCCAAACACGCCTGCCATGGGCGCGACAGCTGACACGAGCTGAGCAGGGCCCACGGCCAGAGCCAAAGCTGCTTTCCTGAGATGTGATCTCCCTCCCCAGCAGGCTGGATGCTTTTGTCTCTCTTACAGAAACATCCTAATTAGCCCTCAGCTTCATAATCAGACTGAACTCTGGACACTGAGTCATTTCACTTGCTCAGAAGAGCAGGAAATGGGAGTTTGCCAGCATTCTCTGTTGTCAGAAAGGGCCCTTCAGTCTGTGGCCATGCCACCCTGAACGGGCTGATCTCATCAGAAGCTAAGCGGGGTCAGGCCTGCCTAGGACTTGGAGTGGTAAAAGGGCCCCTCAGCTTTGTGGAGGCGCTAAGAATGAGCCAATCACTAGGACACGTCATAACATGACACTCCATACAAACAGGCTTTTTCAAGGATCGACGGGGTGAGGCAAAACTTTATCACCAGGTAGAAATGTCTTCAAAAGCTCACAAGGCACCCTAACTGGTTTGGCTCCGTGGATAGAGAGTCGGCCTGGAGACTCAGGGGTCCCAGATTCGATTCCAGTCAAGGGCATGTACCTTGGTTGCTGGCACATCCCCAGTGGGAGGTGTGCAGGAGGAGGCAGCTAATCAATGTTTCTGACTTTCTATCCCTCTCCCTTCCTCTCTGTAGAAAAATCAATAAAATAAAAATAAAATAAAAAAGCTCACAAGGCAGTTTTTCTGAGGGTGGAAGGTGAAGGCAGGACCTTTGAAGAGAGGGAGACAACTTGTCACATTTTCTGTTTATGCAACTTTTAAGTTTTCATTACAAACAGGCTGTCATCTTGAAAGAATAAGAAACATTCAAGTGCCCCTGGGCCACCTCCAGTCCCCAGGCTCCTCTCCTCCCTGACAGCTGTCTGCAGGCATGGCTGCCACATCCGCTGTCCGTGGACGAGTAGGCAAGTAGACTTTCGGGGATCCATACAAAAGCAGGCAAATGCGTTTCCCCAAACAACACTGAGAGCAGCGCTCAGATCTGCTGGGCGGCCCGGTGGCTGTCCTCCCCACCACACTGCCTCTGCCTCTGGTGCCTTCCACGAGGGTTTGACAGTGAGAAGCAGCCTGAAAGGCTGGCTTGGGAAGAGTCACAAAATACAAAAACTTAAATACCTGTGGCTTGGGTCCCCAGGAGGTCTTTGAGGTACTTCTCCAAGGAATCTTTTGGAATTTCCATTGTCTTTCTCACAGGGCGAGTGTTTGGAATAGCCGTTCTCAAGGTAAAACCCAACAGAGTTTCTAATTCCTTTACTGCGGCCTCTGGATCATTAACCTGGTTTCAGAGAAAATATTGAACATGCCACCAGTCAGCCTTGACCTGTCTGTTCTCTAAGATGGTAATTTTTAGGAGGAAATACCAAGAACTCATTCTCTGAGCAGGGACTTTGAAGTCAGGATATTTTGCTAATTAGGGAGCCGTAGAATGTCTCCTCTTCCTACTTAACTCCTAAATGCAGTAAGATTTCTATCTACTGGGGAGAGTTCCAGTTAAAGAGTCCATGACACCGCCTCGTGCCAGGAGCGAAGAATATCCTCCCTCCTCCTGCCACAGCATCCGCTCTGTCCTGTGAGCCCGTCAGCATCAAAAGGAAAACTCAAATGTGGAAAGCTGGTCCAAGAACCCTCCCACGTGGCCTCTTGTGCTTCACAAGAGGCTGGTGCCACTGGCTCCCCACTCAAAAGAGCCACACGTGGACAGTCTGACTGCCATCCCAAATGTCCGAAGCCTGCCCTTCACCTCCTTGTGTAACTCTTCTCAAACTGCCTTCCTGGTGTGTCTGTCTTCCTTCCATTAAAAATACAAGCAACTAGTCACCCGGATTTCCTAATTAAAAAAGACCACGGCGACACGGGGGAAGCCCACTAAAGGCAGCTACAGCAATGAATGTAAGAGGGCTGCACAGAAATACTCACACTGGTGTCTGGAGCAGGGTGGGGTTCAAAGACTGACGGCCATTACCTTAATGGTGCGCATACCAAGGCTGGCAGCTGCTTTGACATTCTGTCCAAGATCATCAAGAAAAATGGACTCCGAAGGCTGTAGGCCCAGCCGCTCCAAGCACAGCTTGTAGATCCTGTGGTCTGGCTTACAGACACCTTCCACACAGGACTCCACAACCTGAAGGAGGGACAGAGATGAGAAATAAATGTCCCTAAAAGTGGTGCTCCCCCATGCTCGCTGGTATATATTTTTAAAAGTGCAGAACAGGTTTCAGCTCAATTCCCAGTCAGGGCACATGGGTTGCCGGCTTGATCCCCAGTGTGGGACGAGCAGGAGGCAACCGATCAATGATTCTTTCTCATTACTGATGTTTCTCTCTCTCTCTTTGTCTCTGAAATCCATCAAAATATATTTCTTTTTTTTTTTCAATATATTTTATTGATTTTTCACAGAGAGGAAGAGAGAGGAACAGAGAGCTAGAAACATCGATAAGAGAGAATCATCAATCAGCTGCCTCTTGCACACCCCCCACTGGGGATATGCCCGCAACCAAGGCATATACCCTTGACTGGAATCAAACCTGGGACCCTTCAGTCCGCAGACCGACGCTCTACCACTGAGCCAAACTGGTTTCGGCAATCATCAAAATATATTTCTAAAAAAAAGTGTAAAATGAAACAGTTGAGATTTGTTATAAGTAACTTAAGGGGATTATGAGAGAAAATGATGTTGCTTTTTTAAGTTGAGTGATTTGAACATAGTGGGGGCAACCTGGGAATTCTTGTTCAAATACAGTGACCTTGTGTACATGGTTAAGCCATGTGGGCCTGTTTCATCATCAGTCAAGTGGGAATACTAATAGCCCTCTTATCTATCTTGTGGTTATTGTGAAACTTAACTTGAAGGAGTTCCAAAATGACAAAGCGTTTTGCTAATGTTAGCTATTGTGCCTACACCAAGCAAAAGAAAAACAGTACATGTCTGTTTTAGGGAAAATCATCATTTTTTCAGAAAGAAGGCATTGTACAGTTAGAAAATAAACATGGTTTTAATGTCTGTATTTCAGAAGTTAAAAAAAGAGCCATACTGCCGAAACCAGTTTGGCTCAGTGGATAGAGCACCAGCCTTCGGACTGAAGGGTCCCGGGTTCAATTCTGGTCAGGGGCATGTACCTTGGTTGCAGGCACATCCCCACCTGGAGGTCTGGAGGAAGCAGCTGATCGATATTTCTCTCTCATTGATGTTTCTAAATCTCTATTCCTCTCCCTTCCTCTCTGTAAAAAACTCAATAAAATAAAAAGTAAGAAATAAAAAAAGAGCCATACTCAGTTTATACTACTGAACCCCACCAGAGGGCTGTCACCAAAGAGCAGGTCGATGGCAAAGATACTCCTTTCCTTAAAAAGAGCCTCCTGTATCCTGTCAGACTGATTTCCACTCTGTCTCTGATCTGGAACTAGAGGAGAACCCTGAAAAAACTGTCTCAGTGTCGGGCTATCTCTGGGAAGTCCCCTCTTATACTGTTCCCAGGGCACATAGTAATTGCTCAATAAAATGTTGTTTTGCTCTAACCGGTTTGGCTCAGTAGATAGAGCATCAGCCTGCAGACTGAAGGGTCCCAGGTTTGATTCCAGTCAAGGGCACATACCCAGATTGAGGGTTCAATCCCCAGTAGGGAGCATGGGGGCATGCAAGAGGTAGCCAATCAATGATTGTCTCTCATCATTAATGTTTCTATCTCTTTCTCCCTCTCCCTTACTCTCTGAAATCAATTAAAGAAAAAATATATATATGCTCCAACAGGGGGAGTGCTGCTCAGCCAGAAGCCGCGCCTCCACAGCAATACTAAGGCTGTACTACTGATGGCATATATAAATATATATATATATATATATATATATATATATATATATATATATATATGATATGGTCTTCTGTGCCAGAAGGTTTCATCTGTGAAGGAGTCCTCATTTCTCTATAGAGAAAATAGATCATTATCCTGAGATATATATAAAGTATTGATAGATGAACTGTTTAAACTTCATTCAAAAAACAGATTTTAAAAAATATTTTTTTTATTGATTTCAGAGAGGAAGGAAGAAGGAGAGAAAGACAGAAACATCAATGATGAGAATCATAGATTGACTGCCTTCTGCATGCCCCCTACTGAGGATTGAGCCCGCAACCTGGGCATGTGCCCTTGACCTGAATCAAACCCAGGACCCTTCCACAGGTCAACGCTCTATACACTGAGCCAAACTAGCTAAGGCGGAAAACCGTATTTTTACTCAGTATGTTCTCAGGGTATTTGGATAGTCCAGCACTGCAGGCACTATCATTACAAGAGCCCCTAGCCATATGTGACTCTTTAAATTAATTAAAGCAAATTAAATCCAATTCCTTGGTGACATTAGCCACATTTCAAGTGCTTCATAGCTATATATGACTAGTAGCAACTGTATTGGACATTTCTATTACTGCATTCAGTGTTATTGGACAGCGTTGATCTAAGGATTGATGCCATAGAAATAGAGGGCAGCATGGTTGGTCTCTGAAAAGAAAAGGTTAAAGTCTCACTAAGAGGGCTGACAGAAATGTGTGTGTTATGTGGTGACTAAGGTTCAAATCCAGAATGTAAGAAAGTCTCTAAAGCTCAACCAATTACCAAATCCCATAAATGTTTGACCTTGCTAAGAGCTCAGTGATACAAGTCCTCTTTCTGTTATATCTAAACCTGACTTAGTCAAGTGTCTGAATAAAAAACCCATTCACTCAAGACCTGCTAAAGGGCAGTGTGAAATGTTGCATCCTGAAGCAAGGACAGACTATTTTGATGATTGTTTAGTATCACTTCAAACTTACCACATCAAACTGTTTTCGGTCCAAGGGCAAAAAGCTTTTGCCATTGGAAAGATAAAAATTATTGCTCAAGACTGCAGTCTGAAGGCCTTTTGCCCGAATTTGAATTATGGCTTCAGTCATCACTGGGAACTGCTTTGCCACTTGCTCACTGGTCAGCAGAGAGAAAAAGTTGTCCACAGGCACAGAGGTATTTGACTAGGAAAGGAGGGGAAAGAAGAAGCAGCAATCATTAAGAGAAAAGTCACCTTATCTCAGAGAAAAAGAAATATTCCTAGCCGAAACCAGTTTGGCTCAGTGGTAGAGCGTCGGTCTGCGGACTGAAAGGTCCCGGGTTCTATTCCGGTCAGGGGCATGTACGTTGGTTGCGGGCACATCCCCAGTAGGGGGTGTGCAAGAGGCAGCTGGTCAATGTTTCTCTCTCATCGACGTTTCTAGCCCTCTGTCTCTCTCTCTTCCTCTCTGTAAAAATCAATAAAATATATTTAATAAAAATTTAAAAAATAAAAAGAAATATTCCCAGCTTCCTGTGCTATTTGGCTGTAAAAGCCCCACCCTGTGGCTTGCTGCCTAAAGGAATCTTCTCCCTCGGCCACTGAGCAGAACTTTGCATATTCTATATAATAAAAGGCTAATATGGAAATAGACCAAACAGCAGAACAACCAGTAGCTATGACATGTACTGACCACCAGGGGGAAGACACTCAATGCAGGAGCTGTCCCCTGGTGGTCAGTATGCTCCAACAGGGGGAGTGCTGCTTAGCCAAAGCCGTGCCTCCATGGCAATGCTAAGGCTGTACTACTATCGGGCCTAAGCCATCAGTCAGACATCCCCTGAGGGCTCCCAGACTGTAAGAGAGTGCAGTCTGGGCTGAGGGACCCCACCCCTTCAAGTGCACAAATTTCTTTCTTTTCTTTTTTTTTAAAATATATTTTATTGATTTTGTACAGATAGGAAGGGAGAGAGATAGAGAGTTAGAAACATCGATGAGAGAGAGTCATCGATCAGCTGCCTCTTGCACACCCCCTACTGGGGATATGCCCGCAACCAAGGTACATCAAGTGCACAAATTTCATGCCGTGGGCCTCTAGTCTACACTAATAAAAGAAACATGCAAATTAACCATCACTCCACTACACCCACCAGCCACACCCACCAGCCAATCAGGAGAGAGTATGCAAATTAATCATACCAAGATGGCGGCCGGCCACAGAGCTGGAGCAAGCAGGAGGCTTAGGTTGCCCCGGCAATGGAGGAAGCCAAGATTCCCACCCGCAATTATCAAGGATTTATTTATCTTCTATAATTGAAACTTTGTAGCCTTGAGAGGAGGCCAGGGCCGGTGGGACTTATAAAAAGTGACTTAGAATTAGAATTACAATGGTTAGGGATGGAGCTATTTATATCAATATTCCAGTTAAAGGAGTTGTTTATTTTAACCATGGCTTGTCATTTTTAAAAAGTAGCAGGATACTGTAAGAAGATACATTAAATTTTAAAAGTATAGTAAGTAGATGTAATTTAATTTTCAGTGATCCAGAAGACATTTAATGGTTTTGTATTGCTTTAGCTCACCATTATGAACTTCAGTTTCTGATAAATTTTTTTTTAATTCAATCTGTGTGGGGTTTGAAACTCTTATTTTATCATGTTTTAAAATCTGTAAAGGCAAATTTGCTATTTTCTTTATACACACACACACACTCACATTTTACAGCAGCTTTAAAGAAATACACATACCATACAACTCACCCATTTAAGCTATACAATTAAATGGTTTTTAATATATTCACAAAGTTATGCAATCATCACCACAATTTTAGAACATTTTCATCCCCTTAAAAAGAAACCCCATACTCATTAGTATAATCACTCCCCATTCCAACCCACACCTCCAATAGTCCCAGTCTGAGCAAATCACTAATCTACTTTATGTTTCTGGACATTTCATATAAATGGAGTTTGTGGTCTTTTTTTTGACTTTTTTTTTTCCCCACTTAGCTTAATGTCTTTAATATATATATATATATTCTCAAGGGAAAAGAGGTGTGGGGGTGCAGGAAGAGACTGGACAAAAATCGTACACCTCTGGATGAGGGCAGTGGGGGGGAGGTAAGGGTAGAGAGTGGGGTGGGTACCAGATGGAGGGGAGCTATGGGAGGGAAAAGGAGAAACAATTGTAATAATCTGAACAATAAAGATTTATTAAATTAAAAAAAAGAAAATATAAATAGTAATGAAAAGTTTAAGAATAATACAAAGTAAACAAAAAACAAATGGATGTAAAGAAAAATGTCACTTGCAAAAAAAAAAAAGAATAATACAAAGTATTACCAATAAAAAAAACATGTTTATCACTCACAATTTCAGAGCAGAGTCTCCTAAATTCTTGTAAGAAATCCTCTTCTGTCATTTCTCCTCTCATAAATTTCAGCCAAGGCCCATTTTCGCCACCTGTGACTAAGGCCTTCAATATCGTTCCGGAAGGGATATGATTTTGTGCCTCCCATTCTGTAGGAAGAAAAATATGCAATAAGTGAAACCCATTAACAGATGGCTGGAGTTTAGGGAGCTCAGGGGATTACCATACCAGTTCCTGTGGCATCACTATGGTGCCAAGTGGGCTCTACTGGGAATCTGAAAAAATTCAGGAAATGCACATCTCAGCCTCAGATCTCCAAGGGAACAGCAGTGCTTATTTGTGTGAATGAGGGAACACTGCTGCTAAGTCTCACATCCTCACCATCTGCTTGAGATGAAACTGGATGCTGTAATATAAATTTTCTTTTCTGGTTTTTCCCTGGCTGGCTCATACATATTAGGTCATTCACACAGTCTTGGCCACACAGTAAGGAAATCTATAGAGTAATAAGACAGATACTGACAGTATTAAAAACAAACAAACAAAAAACACCTTCATTTCGTAAACTGCAGAACTTTCTACACTGATAGAAATGCTGCACAGTCGCCACTAGCCACATGTGGGAACAGAGCTCTTGAAATGTGGTAAGTGGGTATTGCAGAGGCGACTGTGTCTGTCACATTGAATGCAGTATCCCTTCACGCCTAAGCAGTGCCTAGCACATAGTAACTGCTCCATAAAAAATCTGCTTTCTGACTGAATAAAGTTTAAGCAAATCATTTACAGAAGAGTCAGGGAAGGGTAGCCGCTAGTAGGGAGAACAGAACTTGCAAAGGCACAGCACTTGTTTGGCAAGTTTAGAGAACAAGTAGTCTACAGCAGCGGAAATGGGGACACACAGTAGGAAACGGGGTGACGGGAGGATGCAAGGCTTGGAGTATGCGTGACTTGGAGGGGGAGGGGTGTGTTTGGAACAGCCCTGCGGTCAAAGTGAGAGGAATGAGTGGAGGAAGAAAGGCCGAGGGCCCAGCTGTCCTTGGAACTAAAAAAAAAAAATAGCTCGCTTAGCCCATTTGCACGGCTGGGTTACTTTTTACCCAGGAGCATAGGAAATTTGTACTTCATTTATTTTACTTTTTAAATCTATTTCTATTGATTTCAAACAGGAAACGGAGAGGGAGAGAGATAGAAATATCAATGATGAGAGAGAATCACTGATAGGCTGCCTCCTGCACACCTGGGAGGATTGAGCCTGCAACCCCGGTATGTGCCCTTGATAGGAATCAAACCCAGGACACTTCAGTCTGCAGGCCGATGCTCTATACACTGAGCTAGACCATCTAGGGCTGTACTTCAGTTCATTTAACATGGAGCAATGCCAAGCAGCCACCACAGCGGGTCTGAAGGACAGGGACAGCTGTTTGGCCCTGCTTCCTTCCTGCAGGCTGGAATGAGAATGTAATGGCAGGAGGTGATACAGTCAAGACAGACCGTGAGGCGAAGCTGGAAATGAACTCACAGCAGAGCAACACAACAGAGAGCCTGGGTCCCCGGTATCACAGAGCAACATACCAGCCACGGACCGCATACCTTGGCTTTCGTGCCAAAGAAATAAACCTCTATCTTGTTTCAATCCCTGTTTTGTTAGAGCTAACACCAGTCAAACTTAAGTGAGTTGAACTAAGTTGGAGAAAAGGTAAAACCACGAGGGGCCTGACAAAGAAAAGATCAGAGTTAGAGCTTTGCTCTTGAAGGTTTAGAGGAAGTTGGTGGAAGAGGGGAGGCTGGGATTAAGGGTGGGGCTTTCAGAGTTCAGATTTCAGAAGAGGCACAGTTCTCAGGGGAAGGTAGTTAAATCCTACCAATAACAATGGCGGTTCATCATTTTTTGGAATTTTAGTGAACTGAACACTCACTGGGCTAAGCAAGTGCTTTCCAAACCCCAAAGAGGTAGGTACTCCTATTAGCCCTAAGTCAATGCTGAGGAAACTAAGACGTTAACTCATTTGCTCAACATACTCAACCTCTAAGTGGTGCTTAGAATTTGATGCAAGAGTTAGAATATTGCCCACTGGGACACACTGCTGACCAAATGTTCCTCTCTGTCTCTCCTTACCACCCTCCACCACCCCACACACCCCCACCTCAGTCTCCAAAAGTGAAACAGAACAAAGAGCTCACCTGCAGCCACTTTCCCTGGAGAAGGAATGAGAACTCCACCCATGTCAAAAATGATCGCTCTGTAGGGGCCACTTCCAGAATGTGTCCATCGCCAGGGTCCCTGGTGCCCACACTGCTTGTGTTTCAGGAAGGCTGCCCTCCAAGCCCACTGGAGACGCGAGGACCGGAAAAGCTGCCTTATGCTCATGTTGAGGCCAAAGCTGTGTGAGAAGGCACAGGGCACATTTTGCCTTAACTGCCTCCATCCAGACCTCCATCCTGCAGCTCAGGGGCGCCACCTGGACATCCCTGATCTCCAACAAACACTCCAAACCACAACCAGAATTGAGTTCTATCTCCATCCTCCCACCTCCTTTTGATGAGTTCCTTAGCTCAGGGAAGGGCTCCGCCATTCACCTAGCTGCCCATCTAGAAAACGGGAGTGGGCACCTTAGTCCCCCACCAGCCACCTCAACTCCAGTTGTTCTGTGCTTGTCAGTTCCTCCTGAAAATCCCACACCCTCTCTCCACTCTCATTGCCATTCTCTCACCCACAGATCATTGCAACAGCCTCTTCCCAAATCTCTTCATTCTTTCTTCACTCCTTAGCCAGAGTAATCGTTCAAAAGTGCAAATTTGATCACATCCTAACCCCATTTAACAACTTCAATGTCTCCCCATTGCCCTCAAGATACACTTCCTTAACCTGACTTAAAAGGCCCTTTCAGATCTGCCTCCCCCTCTTTCTACATATTAACCTGGATGATCTGGACACACAAATCCATATGCAGCTCTCTCAACCAGTGTTCTCCTCCTGCTCCCAGGCCTTTCATATGTTTCCTTGGCTTGTGATGCTCCCTTCTGCTTGTTACCTGGCTATTTCCAAACTGTCCTTTAGGTCTGTTTCTCTGTCACTTCCTTCCTGAAACCTCTTCTGGCTACCAGGAAAGATAGATGAGGAGTCTCTCCTATATATTCCTAGGATGCCTGTACTGAGCTCCTCCTAGCACTGATGAGGCCACCATCACACCATCACCCTTCCTGCAGATGACTGCAATGGCCTCCTAACAATGCTTCTTTCCTAAACTGATTTCAAAAGTTTTCAGAAAAGAACAAACATATACATGTAACACACACACACACACACACACACACACACACACACAGAGAGAGAGGTAGATAGATATATACTTATAGATGCATGTAGAGAAATAAATCAAATGTGGCTAAATGTTAATAATCAATCTAGGTGAAAGGTATATAATGAAGTATATTGAGAGATCTTATACTATTAAAACTTTTCTATAAGTCTGATATAAAAAGTTGGGGGGGAAACAAAATAATTAAAGCAAATCCTATTTGTAGTCATTTCCTCATTAAATGACTTGAAGCTTTTTATGTGATTTCTACAGTTAAAAAAAAAAAAAAGCTTACTGAAAATCAGGTTGGTAAGACAGCCTACAAGTTCATGAGAGTCTCTTTAAGGCCACCATAAGGATTCAATAAATCAAGAATCTTAGAAGGGATTCTTAAGGAGTAACTCTTCTAGTTTATAGACTGTGTTTTTCATGTAATTGGAAATTGGTTGAATTGGGAAATGAATTTTGAAATGAAAAATTTAGAGATTGATTTGTATTTTCAATTTTACTTGTTTCTATGCCAAGGCCAAAATTTATAACAGGAGAAATTTATTTATAGGCTCTTAAAACATCAACATCTTTTGTGTGAGGGCTTAACAGAGATGAAAGTGTCTCTGGGGCCTGAAGGGCTGACTTTCACCCTCACTGAGGACACTGTCCTCCACATACTCCCACTAATGGATGATGGCAAAGCTCCCATGACTAGCTTGCTTATTCTTTCCATTTAGAGAGGATGGTTCTATTCTAGCCACTTCCCAATACTTTCCTCGACGAAGGAAAATGCTGTGATTTCTCGTATTTCTAGGCCATTGTACCTGCCACGTTCACTGACTGAACTGCCTTTCCCTGCTGTTGGCCTGGTGAACCTCCATTCACTTTTACACGACAGCCTCAGCTCTCCCCTCTGGAGGGACTTTTCTTTCTTTTTCCAGGTGGACTATGTTACTTTCCCCCTCCCTCTCCTCTCACTGCCTTTTCTTCATACCTTCACGTTGCCTGGGTTCAAATTCTAGCTCCTCCACTCACTAAATGAGATCCTGAGCAAGTTACTCTCTCTCTCTCTCTCTTAGCCTCAATGGGAAAAATGAGAGTATCTGTCTCATAAAGTCGTTACTATTACATGAGGTAAAGTATGTAAAGCACATGTTTGGACTTGGCACACTATTAAATGTTATCTACTACTGTAATATACTATAAAATGTTCACATGAGGTCTCACGTTACATGCACATACTATGTGCACATGGCACATGTACTTTCTAATAAGCCAGTGATTCTTAACAGGGAGGTAATTTTGGCCCCAAGGGGTCCTTTGGCAATGTCTGGAAACATTTTGTTTGTCACCACTTGGGGCGTGCCACCAGTACCTAATGGATCAGGCCAGGGATGCTGCTAAACACTTTAGAAAGCATAGGAAACACACACACCTGGGAGAATTATCAGAACCCAAAATGTCAACAGTGCAAAGGATGAGAAACCCTAATATAAGCAGTGTATACTGGATTGTATTTCATAGGGCACAGCCACAAGGTGAATGTACTCTATATACCTTCATATGTCCAGGATGTGCTGTGACACCTCTAGATATTATAGCATACTTAGAATAGCATCTGGTCATGTATACATCAGATACAGATTGTGGCTCTCAATGTCCATCCACGCGCTAAAGGCATCTGGAAAGAATGCTGGATTTCAGAAAAACTGTTGGACAAAGAGCCACAGACTCGATTCATTTCACCCTCACAGCTGAATGAGGATATTATTCCAATCCTATGCAAAACCTAGATGAAGGTCACACAACCTAATGATCAAGGGCGACTGCATCCGAAAAGGAGCTGGGTGTTTATCTTATTCACGAATGTATCCACACCATGCCAGCAGTGCCCGAGGTTCTATAAACGTCTGTGAAGTGATGGGTCGGGGAGAGGGACCCAGATTTATAGCCAGCCTTACCCAGCCTACCGCCCAACTTGATAGAGCAGGAGTCACTGCAATCGAGTCCCTACTGCTCCCCGGGCCCTCAGAGAAATGGATTCCCCTGGGTCTCCGCGTACCGTGCGGCTGACACGAAGCAACCCGGACTAAAGCTAGAGCTAGCGGTCAAACATGACAGAAAGGGGCAAAAGCTCTCCGCTTAACGCGGGTCCTGGGACACTTCGGGGACCTCGCGGGGCGGGGTGGGCTGAAGGCGAGGCCTGTCGGGGGAGGTACACTTGGGCCTGGGCGCCAACCCGACGATCGGCTCAATGTGGGGGGGAAGGGGTGCCCCCCCACGCCGTCCCCCCTTCCCAACCTCAGCGAGATCCGGTCCCGCGGGGCTCAGGCTCGGAGCTGCCACGCCAGTCACGCGGCCGCCAGCCCAGCCAATCGGGGCGCGCGCCGGCCCGCGCATGCGTCGCGCCGCGGGTCAGCGACGGCGGCCGGGAGGCGGAAGCGGAGGTTGTTGTGGCTCCGGGGCTGGTGTGCGGAGCTGCTGCGCCGAGGCGGCGGCCGAGGCGCTGAGGTGGTGGCGGGGGCGCTGCCTGCCTCGGGCCGCCCGGCCTCTCGGCTCGACTCCCAGCCTCTCCGGAGCCCGCCGGGGCCCGCGCCGGCCAGCGCCTGCCCTATGAGTGTGTCACTGATTGTCATCCGACTGGAGCTCGCGGAACACTCGCCCGTCCCCGCCGGCTTCGGCTTCAGCGCCGCGGGTAGGTCCGCGGCCTCGCCGCCCTCCGCGGAGCCGGCGCCTGGGCCCCGGGCCCCGAGGGGAGCTTGTCCTCCCCAAGTACGGGCCCGGGAAAGGCCCCGGGAAGGGCTGCTGCCTCAGGGAGAAGCTGAGGGGTGAGGGTGGTTCCCTCTCACTCCGTACTTCCTTAAGGGTCTTCCCGGGTGGCTTCTGTGGGAAGGCCCCCCCGACCCCCTCCCGCCGCCGCCCACGGGAGCGCCGTTCACACCTGGCGCGTCGCTTCCCCGCCCTCGGGTACAGGCGCGATTTTAAGGTGCTCTCCTCTGGGCTTTGTGGAGGCAGGGACCCCAGCGACGCCGACGGCCCCTGGTTTAATTAAATCGTTCCTCTTTGGAAAAAACAACAACACAACAAACCTACTCATTTAGGCGCCTCGTAACATTGGTAATGATCATAATTAACGTTGGTGCATTTCCTATATCGCACAGCTGTACTGTATGTGTGTGATCGTAACCCTGTTCGGTTAGATTGGAGGATGCGTCTTGTCACAAACTGGGAAACTAAAACCCAGTGATTAAATGGCCTGTCCACCATGTATCTGTGAGTCGTGAAACTGGGATTCTTTTTTTTTTTTTTAAATATATACTTTATTGATTTTTTACAGAGAGGAAGAGAGAGGAATAGAGAGTTAGAGAGAATCATCGATCAGCTGCCTCTTGCACACCCCCCTACTGGGGATTTGCCCGCAACCAAGGGTACATGCCCTTGACTGGAATCGAACCAGGAACCCTTCGGTCCACAGGCCGACGCTCTATCCACTGAGCCAAACCGGTTTCGGGGAAACTGGGATTCTTAACTCGGAGAACTGGACTTGAGAGTCTGAGCTCTTCCTTACCAGCCACTTGACCTCCTTAGGTTGTGAAAGCAGCTATGGCTGTTTCTTGGGCCTCCAACAATTACCTAACAATAACATTCATCCAAGAAATGCTTACTGAATGCACCCTCTCTGCTGGAGCTTTGATTTGTGTGCAGAGTCAGATGTGGTCCTTGCCTTAGTGGAACCAGCAGTTCACAGGGGGAGACAGATACATTAATTACAGAATAAATAGAGAACCACAATGATGAAGGTGAGGAAGAAACAGTTTGGAAAACTATTACAGGGGGAACATTTGGTTTGGGGAGGAGGACTGAGGCAGGTAGGGATGGTGTAAATTGGAAACTCCTGAGTATGTGAATTTTGGAGCTGCAAATTAAAGATTGAACATTATTTAATGAGTGAGGAGCCATTTTATTTTTATTTTTTAAATATATTTTATTGATTTTTTTTGCTCCCCTCCCTCCCATACATACCCTCCCTCCCCAGAGTTTTATGTCCATTGGTTGTACTTATATGCATGTATACAAGTCCTTCGGTTGATCTATTATCGAGGAGCCATTTAAAAATATATATATTTTTGTTGATTTTTTTACAGAGAGGAAGAGAGAGAGATAGAGAGTTAGAAACATCGATGAGAGAGAAACATCGATCAGCTGCCTCTTGCACACCCCCTACTGGGGATGTGCCCCCAACCAAAGTACATGCCCTTGACGGGAATCGAACCCAGGACCTTTCAGTCAACAGGCTGACGCTCTATCCACTGAGCCAAACCGGTTTCAGCGAGGAGCCATTTTTAAAGGATAAAAATTATCTCTGAGTTCTGAAAGTCAAACAGATCTGCACTAGCCACATAGTCTCTTGTACATGGCTCAGTCATTGATGCATTTAGTCATTTATTCAGTAAATCATTAAAGAGCTTCCAGTGTGTGCTGGGTGCTGTGGTGTAAGTGGTGGACACAACAGGCCTGGTCTCTGCCCTGAGAGGATTGGTACTAAGGGTATTTTAGTGAAGTCTCCAAATTCCTTTTCCGTTGATTTAAGACAGTGATCAGAGATTTGTATGATATGACTCCAATACAGGGTCTTTAAGAATGCTTAAACATTTTTGTAAGTTTTCTTTATGAATGATAATGACTTGATGCTTTATTTTGGGTTCAACACATTTATACTTTACTTGGTGTTACAAAAAGGCTGGTTCATCTGGGCATAGTCACCGTCAAAACTTCTATAACCGGTTACACTCATTAAATTGCTTTAGAGGTGAATGATTTCACTAAACAGCCCTGCATTTCTGAATTTACTGCACTGGGCGGATGGACTGTCTGCTGGCCGCTGCAGGAGCCCCAGGAGGGAGGGAGATGGACACTGCAGGAAAGCAGCAGAGGGAAGAGGGATGCCTATCGGTGGGTACATTAAGAGTGAAAAGGAGCCTGTTTTATATCAGGTATTAATCATTCATGCGTTCTCTAGCCGGGGAAATGTCCGATGAGGAGATCAAAGAGAAGACACTAGCTTCAGCTGTGGCCTGTTTAGAAGGGAAGTCACCAGGGGAGAAAGCGGCAATCATACATCAGCATCTTGGCCGTCGAGAAATGACAGACGTGATCATTGAGACCATGAAGTCCAACCCAGGTATGCTTTCTAAAACCCTAGACTCTTTTGCAACATAAACTTCTGGTTGCCTGTTTACACATGTTGGTCAGTGAGCCCATGATTTTTATCTTTCACTGACTGTGTGCTTTGCATGAGGTTGTCAAGCCACATTTTAACTTCCCAAATATATCTCCTAAATTAATCCTAACAATCTGGGTGGACAATTCTATTCGGTGAGGAGAGCTACTTACCATCTAGGTCAGTGGCAGATCATGAATGAATCCAAATGAGTATGTTGTGTCTCCCCCTGCTCTGCCAGCTCGCTCCAGCCAGGGGAGTGAAAGGTGGATGTATACTACATGTCCAGCATGGAGGTGGTTAGAACTGGTAGGGTTGGTTTTCAAACTTAATAGCTCTGAATGTTTTCCTACTTAAAAGTGCATGATGTAAGGCACCTGCTTTTATTACGATATTAAAAAGCTAGAGGCCCAGTACACAAATCCATGCACATTGAAAGGAAATTAATAAGAAGAAATATTTTAGAGGATGCAGAGGGACCATGGGAAGGTTCCAGGGCGTGTCCACCCCCTCTTGCCCAGTCCTGATTAGGGACCAGCTGGACCCCAGCAGCAAGCTAACCTACAAGTCAGAATGTCTTCCCTCTGCATTGGGCATGTGGAGGTATTATTGATATGAGAAAATGCTAAGTAACTGATTTACTATCTGAAAAGGGATTTACTATGGGGGAAATTGAGGGAAGAAGAGACTGAACATAAACTGCACCTATGGATGAGGACAATGGGGGATGGGGAGGGGGCAGAGGGTGGGGTGGGAACCTGGTGGAGGGGGGAAGAAATGAGGAACCTTTGTAATAATATGAACAATAAAGATTGATTTAAAAAAAAAAAAAAAAAAAAAAAAAGAATGTCTTCCCTCTGGTGACCAATGCACATCATAGGGACTGGTTGAGTGGTTGACCGAACGGTTGGATATTTAGCATATTAGGTTTCATTTACACACACACACATATAGTATATATATATACTATATGTGTGTGTGTGTGTGTGTGTGTGTGTGTGTGTGTATATATATATATATATGTATATATATACACACACTAGTGGCCCAGTGCACAAAATTTGTGCACATTAAAAGGGAATTAATTAGAGGGAATATTTTAATATTACTATTTGCCCTTCCTCTATAATAAAAGTGTCAGAGATGAAAGAAAATTAGTAAAATGTATATGAAAATCTCCCTCCTGTCACAGTCTGGGGGCGCTGCAGGACCCAGAGTCAAGTCCCCGCCCACCCGTGTGTGCCTACAAATCTCAGGAGACCCAGACCCAGCCGGCTCCCATTATGCCCCCGCCAGGTTGGGGGTGGGGGTGGGGAACGCGGCCTCAGGTCCCCCAGCCCCTGTACAAGGGTACAAAGACATGACCATTTGTGTATTAGCTCTTTATTATATAAGATAGATGTAAGAGTCACTGTGAGGGCGGTAATGGGATTTTTATGGAGGAGAGAGCACTTTCTAGTTGAGATTCTCCAAGACATGGCTGTTCTGTGCATATAGTTCTTAATACATGACAATTTCTCTGTCAGGGCTCATTACTCTGACTCAAAATTTTAATCTTATTAGAATCCTTCATATTTCCTATCATTTTATAATCTGCTAATTTTTGATTTGTGAAAGATGAGCTGAAAGCTGCAGTGGAAGAAAGAAAGTCTTCAGAAGCATCCCCCTCTGCACAGAAAAGTAAAGAAAGTGTAAATACTCCTGATTCTCCATCCAAACAGCTTCCAGACCAGATTTCATTCTTCAGTGGAAATCCATCAGTTGAAATAGTTCATGGTATCATGCATCTATATAAGACAAAGTAAGAAAAACCTTTTTCCTTTTGAGTTGGTCTGTTTTTGCTCTAGGGAAGAAAAGAATCTTTTACCCTGAAGGGAAGTGTATATTTTAAGCTTCAAAAACATAGTACTTTCATATATTGTGTGTTAGAGAATTCTTAAATGTTTTACATTTGGTTAATCTTGTAGATTGGGTCAGAGCTTCTCCTTATAAAAGAAGGGTGTAAATAGCCCTCCTAGGAAAATATTACCTGAGAAGGTAGGGATGCAAGGTGATTGGAAAATGGAAAGGAAAGAAGATAGCAAAGAAAAATTATAAATGACCCATAACATCGCAGTAGTCTCATATCCCCACCAAATCTTTATGAAAGAAACTAAGAAATCAGGTAATGGGTAGCAATTTCACCACCTCTTTTTACCCTTTTCTGTGGTCCAAGCAGAAAACTTACCAGAGGCCAACAGAAAGGAAGCTTTTGACTAAATCTATTCGCTGGGCCATAAGCTTCTGGGATAATTAGTAGTTGATTTCTTTAAAGACTGTCCTTGTCCTAACCCAGAGGCTAAGTTCCTACAGGGAAATAGTGAATACTCAGGTAGCCATATGGAATCATAGCTATGTTAAAGTGAGTTTGCACCATTTCAAAAGCAAATTATGGTGAGGGAGAATCCTCCCCACCCCCATTCCTGCTATTACAGAAAACAACATCTTCATGGTTCAGAATTCTCTTTTTTATATTTAGAGCTCTTTTATCTTCTAAACACTTAAGAGAAGTCCAGAGTTAGTGTTGTGCTTCCAAGTTACACAATGAGAGATTTAAAAAATTTTTCAAAGAGGAAGGAGGGGGGAGAGAGATAGAAACATCAACGATGAGAGAGAATCATTGATTGGTTGCCTGCTGCATGCCTCCTACTGGGGATCGAGCCTGCAACCAGGGCACATGCCTTAACTGGGAGAACCGTGACCTCCTGGTTCATAGGTCGATGCTCAATCACTGAGCCATGCCAGCTGGGTGAGAGATTATTATTTTAAAAAAAAAAAAAAAAAACAAGAACAACTAATGAAAATAAAACAACAAATTGCAAATTTGCCTAATGCAGATTTGAACCATAACAAGCTTTTAATTAATGATTAAAAATTTCAGTGCTACGTATGATGTAGAACATTTTGAAGTTTACCTTAAACTCCATGTTAGATATGTTTAAAGGATTCTGCATTTACCTATGTAGTATGGATTTTCAGATAAAATAAGCTGTTTAATTGATATGTGAAGTTTTACATGTTTTATTTTTCCTATTGGACATAAAAGTTGTCTAATTAGTGTTGTGTGAACTAACTATACGTCTATTCAAGACAGTCTAATTATTGTCTCATTAGTAAGATGACCTCCTTAAAAGAAGATGTGAGGCGCAGTGCCATGCTGTGTATTCTCACAGTCCCTGCTACAATGACCAGTCATGACCTTATGAAGTTTGTCGCCCCATTTAATGAAGTAATTGAACAAATGAAAATCATCAGAGACTCTACTCCAAATCAATATATGGTGCTGATAAAGTTTAGTGCACAGGTAAAAGTTAAGATATTAAAAATCTCTTTGCCACAAAAACTGTTTTTGAAACTGTGTAATACTAGCTGTGTGTGGTTTACAGCATTTTGCTCTTAAGATTCATAACTTCTAGGTTAGGTTATTGTAATTCTAGAATGACTTATAAATTCATTAGCAGACACTGAATCTTCTAATTCATACCCATACTTCTTTATAAATCAGATTTGGTATGAAATCTAGGGTTGTATTTGTTTTTTTATCCAGTACTAACTATTCCAGTAGAACAATAGTTTCCAAACTTTTAAAAGTTGACAGCAATTATTAATTTGCCATTATAACACTTGTGCCCTTGCTTTTATGCTCTCTTTAAAAGACCTTCTTTGGAACATTTTAGAAAATAAGATCTCTTTTTTTTTAAATTTTGGTGACGAGGTATTTTGTGACATTCCTTGATGTATTAAAGATGCTTTACAATTCTGATTGGAAATAGAGATTAGAGAAACAAATACTGAAAAAGAGTGGTGCATTATAATTCATATTTTATGTGTCTCAGTTCTAAAGATGTTAGATATTCTTAGGAGCATGCATATTTCTATATGAATATAAAAATTAGGTAAGCTTTAGGTATTATCCAGGTTATTAAAAAGCTACCTTATCTTTAGGTTTCATTCAATCTGTGTGGTTTTTTTTAATAGCCTATTATATTTGTCTATTCATTAGTTTTGAAATGCAGCTTTGTCAAAAATTACTTGCATCTCACCTCATTTGCATAATGTTAAAAATGGGTGTTCCTGTAGGGTCAATTGCCTTTGTCTCTGGTCACTGAGATTGGTGGCTGAAAAGGGGCCTATGACACAAGAGCCACTAGGCATTTTCTTCTTCCTCATTATAGAAAATCCAATGCTGACAGCAGTAGCAGCCATTCATTGGTATTGGGAAGGAAGTTAAGAGAAGTGAGAGTTGGGTTATATGTTCCATGGCTACAGAAAGAGAACACTTAGAATGGAGTTCTATGTACAAGAGGGTGCACAATTGTTATATTTAACCTTCCAAAGCACCCTACCATTGAAGGAGACATTTAAAACAAATGTTTCAACTATCCTACAAGTTGAGAATGGAAAAACACTTATTTAAACAACTGCTTTCATTGTCAAGAGACCTTCTGAGGTCACTGAAGGGCTTTGCAAACAATGTGCAAGTGGTATGTTAGACCTTTTAAACCTGGTAAGGGTAACAATAAGATAGTGATAATATGCAAGCTTTTGATTACTTGTTCTGTACCATTCACAGTGCTAAATGCTTAATGTGAGTTATTTCATTTCATCCTCTCTAGAAACCCTGTGAGGTAGATAAGTACTGTTGTTACCCTTATTTTACAAATGAGGAAACTAGCTGCAGAGAGAGGTTGGTGATTTGCCCAAGGTTCCATAGCTAGATGTACATGACTGAGCTGGGATTGACCCCTCACTTTTAATTCCTATGGTGGGGTACCCCTCTTATCATAGGAGGAGTATGAAAGTTTGGGAAAGGAAAGACAGTCACTGTCTGAAAGAAATTGTATAATGGCAGTAATTTAGTTAACTGCTTCTACTTAACAAAGCTGATCAGTAAAAGGAAAAATCACAGAAACAGGTTGGAGAAAATGTTTAAGAACATAATAGATTTGTTAGTCTGAAGTCTAATAAACCCATAAATACTCCTGTAACAAGTGCTTCATAGTGTGCAGATAAAGCTGTGGGAATTTTTATTACTGTTAATATATTTTCTTTGTACTTACGCACTGGCTTTCTACCTCTGTCTTTTGATCAAGTGCAGGTTGCTCAAGTTGATGAATGTTTTCTGAAACTTTGAAACAGCTTATTACATGCTCTTCCCCATGGGGATAGAACCCTTGACTTTGGTATCATGAGTATGTACTAGAGGACCAGTGCACGAAATCCGTGCATGGGGTCCCCCCCAATTACTCTCCCCTATAGGCCTGGTCCCCCCCAACTGCCCTCTCCTGCAGGCCTGGTTGTCCCCAGCTGCCCTCCTCTGCAGGCCTGTGTCACTCCTAACTGCCCTCCCCTGCAGTTATTTGTAAATGCTGTCAGTCAGCCAGCCTGCACCCTCTCTAATCTGGGACCACTCAAGGGCAGTTGGACATCCCTCTCACAATCCAGGACTGCTGGCTCCCAACCGCTTGCCTACCTGCCAGCCTGATCACTCCCTAACCACTCCCCTGCCAGCCTGATCAATGCCTAACTGCTCCCCTGCCAACCTGGGCCCCCCCCAACTACCCACCTCTGCCAGCTGGTCACCCCTAACTGCCCACTCCTGCAGGCCTGGTCCCTCCCAGTTACTCTCCCCTACAGGCCTGGTTCCCCCCAACTGCTCTCCCCTGTAGGCTTGGTTGCCCCCAGCTGCCCTCCCCTGCAGGCCTGGTTCCTCCCAACTGCCCTCCCCTGCAGATCTGGGTCACCCCAACTGTCCTCCCTTTCAGACCTGGGTCCCCCCCAACTTCCCTCCCCTGCAAGCCTGTGTCACCCCTAACTGCCCTCCCCTGTAGGCCTGATTGCCTCCAACTGCCATTCCCCTGCAGGTCATCTTGTGGCGGCCATCTTGTGTCTACATGGGGACAGCCATCTTTGATCACGTGGGGGCAACCATGTTGTGTATTGGAGTGATAGTCAATTTGAATATTACTCTTTTACTAGATAGGATTGTAAATGCTGGATCTTAGGGTCAGAGGCACATTCTATCAGGGACTTTCTAAGGATTACAAATACCCTCCTAGTGTAAGACTTGATGTTATTAAATTTTTGGCCACCAAATGTTGAACACTTACTTCCTAGATAGATGCCAGGCCTGTGCTAAGTGCTTTTCATGCATTAGCTTCTTGAGTCCTCTCAACAATGCCATGAGGTAGATGTTGTTTTGTCACTTTTGTAATTGTGGGAACAAGAGTGAATAAAATCCCTTGCCCAAAGCTACATGGCTAATAGTTGTCAGAGTTGGAAATTGAAACCCAGGCAGCCTGACTCCATAGCCTGGGCCGCTAACTATATTATTTTTTTAAAATATGTTTTTATTGATTTCAGAGAGAAAGGAAGAGGGAGAGAGAGATAGAAACATCAATGATGAGAGAGAATCATTGATTGGCTGCCTCCTGCATGCCCCCACTGAGGATTGAGTCTGCAACCTGGGCTTGTGCCCTGATCGGGAATTGAACCTCCTGGTTCATAGATCTATGCTCAACCACTGAGCCACACCGACTGGGCTATATTCTTATTCCTTTTTCTTACCAGAGAATTTTTATTAAGAAATAATGGGGGGGAAAAAGGGAAGGGAAGGGAAGAAAGGAAAGGGGAAGGAACGAACCATCCTAGCTGGTTTGGCTCAGTGGATAGAGTGTTGACCTGCGAGTGAAGGGTTCTGTGTTTGATTCCAGTCAGGGGCATATGCCTGGTTTGTGGGTTCAGTCTCCAGTAGGGGGTGTGCAGGAGACAGCCAGTCCATGATTATCCCTCATTGATGTTTTTATCTCTCTCTCTCTCCCCCTCTCCTTTCCTCTCTGAAATCAAAAAATATATATATATTTTTAAAAATAATGGATCTTCTCTATATCTTTTATAATCTCATTAACTTATTTTGGCCTCAGCTTTATACTGGAGGTATTAAAAGAGATGTGCTTACAAAGTTTATTGTGACCTTTAGGAAATTTAGTCTTTAATTAAAGAATTTATAATTCATCAAGATATAGGAAGGCAGGAGGTTCAATTTCATATTTCTTAGGAACAAAACTTTAGAGGATAGTGTGTGTGGGCTCGTTTTCACTTGCATGCTTAGGGCAACCTTGAAGACTCCTCTTTTTTAAAGTATATTTTTATTGATTCAGAGAGGAAGGGAAAGGGGGAGAGAGAGAGATGGAAACATCAATGATGAGAATCATTGATCCTCTGCCTTCACATTGGGGATTCAAGCCCACAACCTAGGCACATGCCCTGACGGGGAATCCAACCATGACTTCGTGGTACATGGGTCTACACTCAACCACTGAGCCCCGTGGCCCGGCAAGACCCCTCTTTTGAGAAGTAAAAGTATGTTCTCATTACTGTAGTGATCATCATGATGATCGAGGAATCTTGACCATGATGGATTTTTCTTTTTCTCAAATTTATCCTGAGACAGGAACAATAGGAACAAGGACTAAGGAAAAAAACAAAAGCTGGGTTTTTAAAAGTTTGGGCTCTATACAGTGCAAACATTTTAAATAAAAAAGTTGTTTATTGTGCAAATTTTGCAGTTAGCTTCATGCTTTTGTGCACTTCAGGGGTGGGTTGAAGCGGGAACCATGTGTATTTTCTTTTCCACTCTTGTCCTAGTGCTTAGCACAGTGTGTGATATATGCTAGGTACTCAGTAAATATTTGAAAAGGTGAAGCTGCATTTCCAGTACCAAGATTTTAAAGAAGAGATCAATGTGTTCAAAAAAATACATTTCTTCAGTATAAACAACTCCTTCAAGAAAGGATTAATTTATCTGGTGCTGAATAGAATTCATCATGTGTCCCTTGTCACACAAACCTTGTCCCTTCCTCTGAGGAGGCATAGTTGTTTAGTGAGCATTTATAGAGCTGGAGGCCGAAGGATGGGTCTTCCTTTTCCCGCTCAGCCTGGCATAGCTGCAGCCAGCTCCTGGTACCTGGGACCCTCAAGAGCTGACCAGTGCCCTCATTTCCAGCCCGTCACTTCCCGCAGAACATGAATCCATTTGCTCACTGTGCTGATTCCTCATCTATGAGCATTTCAAGAAGTCATTACTCTTAAAGAATGGGGGAAGCCATTAGATTGCCTCTTCTTAGTATTAAAGAAAATGTATTATCCAAGAACTAGCTTTTAACATTTTGACATCAAAATGAATTGTAGTCAGTACAGTATGTTGTTTCCTGAAAGAAAGCCGCCTCCCCCACCCAACCGCTTCTAAATATAACTTCAGAATTGGTTGTCCTTTATCAGCTGTTTAGCTCCCTTGCTCACATTAAGAAAGCATAAATAATCAAGAATCCACCCTTGATTACATCATTAGAATGAAATTTAAAGCTGTGAAAAGCTTATTGTAAGCTTTTGCTGTTAAAGATTCAGAACCCCATGAAGGTAGACCTGCAGGACGATTTTTGCCTGCTGCAGACTTGAATCTCTTCTAGATGATAACAATGTGGCATTTCCTTTTGCAGATACCCTTCCTCCCCACAAGCAGCCTGTCTACACTGATAGGGCCAAAGCACCCAACTTCCTATGTTGGGGCTAATGGCCGTGTGGGAGTGAAACCCAGACAAGCATTGGCCTCTAGCTGCCTCTAAAAATGACTGAATTGAAAAACTGAAATCATCTCTTGTTACTTTCTATCATACTAAGGCTAGTCTAGGTTTGTTTTACTGGTATCCATATTCACAAATGCATTTATGCCTTTGCAAAGGACTTTTTCTTCTAATTCCATCTGTCTGTTCACTCCAAGGGAAGGAGGCTTAGCATTTCATAGGCTTATACATCTTGATTTTAGCCAAGAGTTTTGCTTTTGGTATTACACACTGGGTTGTTTAAATTTCCTTATAGGATCCTTACATATCATTATTACTTGGCTTATTGAAGAGATCTTAGCTCTTCATTCCAGTTCCACATGTCCTTTATTTTTTTGATCATAGATGCTGACATATTTTGAAAATGACTATTCTCTAACCATCTTCCATTAGGATTTGGTTCCAAGCTTTGCAAAAATAAGTGTTTTTCTTTCAGCTACTATGGAAGTGCTGACTAGAAGGGGGGAAAATACTGTTATCAAGGGAAATGTTGACCATTGCTGGTTGAATATTAAAATTATACTAGCTGTCAGCTTATTACACATCAATAGCTGCTTCTTGTTCCAGTAAAATTATAACGTATCAGGAAACTGTAGAGACATAGGATCTTGAGCTGCAGAGTTCAATTAGCCTGTGAACCTGCTTCCTGCTTCTGTAGATGTTATTTTTGGCCATTGATTTCTCTCTTAAGTATAAGTTTTAAAAGACATTGAAGAGAGTGCCCGGCTAGCTCAGTCGGTAGAGCATGAGACTCTTAAAAGACATTGAAGAGAATAATTGCAGCTATGCATCTTGAATATAAAGCATGTTTTCAGACTCTGAATTTTTTTCCTTTTTCCCTAGGCTGATGCAGATAGTTTTTATATGGCATGCAATGGCCGCCAGTTCAACTCAATAGAAGATGATGTTTGCCAGCTGGTCTATGTGGAACGGGCTGAAGTACTGAAATCTGAAGATGTAAGTATAAATAATCCTTATATTTAATATACATATCAGAATGTTATGAAGTTGTTACTTCATCTACTAGTATTCTAGATCAATGAAACATTGCGTAGAGCCTAAAAGAAGTGTTTTTATTTTAAATATCAATCCTTAATCCCCATCCTAATTTTTTTTTTTAATGTTTTTATTGATTTTATAGAGAGAGACTGCCGGCTGGGTTCTGCTGCTTTTCTTCATTTGTATTCTGTTCTGATCATAGACCTTTACAGTTAGAGTTAGGAGTCTGGTGATGTTTTAGATTCTCTGTTAAGTGTTGGGGGCAGTCTCCCTTCCTAGAATGTCAGCTCTGTGAGGGCAGGGATCTTTGTCTGCTTTATTCACCTCTGTATCCCCAGTGCCTGGCACAGTGCTAGGAAGATTGGAGGTGTTCAATCAGTATTTGTTGCTTGAATGAAAACTTTATCAATTTAACTTATTTGCACAGATCAATAATGTTGAGAATATCCTTCCAGTTGTCAAAAGAAAAACTGTTGTTTCTAAAAAATTAGAACTGGTGGGTAAAGAGTGAGGCTTATGTGAGGTGTTTCACTCTAGGGTGCCAGCCTCCCTGTGATGGATTTGACCGAGCTCCCCAAGTGCACCGTGTGTCTGGAGCGCATGGATGAGTCCGTGAATGGCATCCTCACCACGTTATGTAACCACAGCTTCCACAGCCAGTGTCTGCAGCGCTGGGACGACACGACGTGAGTACAGGAGCAAGCTCATCTCTCACCCTTTTGAAGCCCACTCTTATTCTTTCCCAGAATTAAAATGGCTACCACCAAAAGTGAACCAGTTCAAGTATTTGACTTTAAATATATATATGTTTTATTGATTCCAGAGAAGGAAGAAGGAGAGAGAAATTGAAACATCAATGATGAGAGAGAATCATTGATTGACTGCCTCCTACACGCCCCCTAATGGGAATCAAGCATGAAACCGTGCTTGTGCCGTGACTGGGAATTGAATGGTGAGCTCCTGGTTCATGTGTCAGTGCTCAACCACTGAGCCACTCAGGCTGGGCTCCTTTTTTCCTTTTCATTCTCATGATCTTACTTATAGTTCGGAAAGGCCATTCTGACACAGTGGAGAAAATTGGATTTCAGAAGTAGTTTGTTGTTTCCTTAACTACTACAGCTGCCACCCAGACCATAGGGATGGCAGAGGGCTGAGTTTCTACCTTTGACAAGACTTCTGCTGCTTACCAGCTGCCATCCATTTTGTTATTTCTTCAAGTTGTCTTCTGTCTTTTCTCTTGACACTGAAGTCAGAGACAGACTGGCCCTAACCAGTTTGGCTCAGTGGATAAAGTGTCGGCCTTCAGAGTGGAGTGTCCCAAGTTTGATTCCGGTCAAGGGCATGTACCTTGGTTGCTGGCACATCCCCAGTAAGGAGGTATGCAGGAGGCAGCTGACAGATGTTTTTAACTCTCTATCCCTCTCTCTTCCTCTGTAAAAAAAATAAAATTAAATTTAAAAAAAATATTTATTTATTTATTTATTTTTTTAATAAAGAGATAGACTGGATCCTTTAGCTTTCTCTTAGGAGACACAGATTTTTTTTTTTTTAATGTATTTTGATTCATTTTAGAGAGGAAGGAGAGGGAGAGAGAGAGATAGAAACATCAATGATGAGAGAGAATCATTGATTGGCTGCCTCCTGCAAGCCCCCTACTAAGGATTGAGCCCACAACCCCGGCATGTGTCCTTAACCGGAATCGAACCTGTTACCCTTCAGTCCACATGCCTACACTCTATTCACTGAGCCAAACCGGATAGGGCACCACAGACTTTTTCTGTGAGAAGAACTCTATGTTCTTCCTTCTGATTTCCTTTTGTTGGTTTTATTTATGCAGTTGGGTAACAAACTGATACTAATTGTTTCTTGAGCATTCTTTCTTCTTGTGCCAATTCAGTTAGCAGCAGTAATAATTCACTTTGTATCATCTTTGCCCATCTGACAAAAATATTAATGGCTAGTACTTAACTCAGTTACTTTGTCTTGAGTATAATAGAAAAGAGTTAATGGATTTTTTCAGTGTCCCTTTTTTCAATTTAATTGAGGTATAATTGACAGAAATTATATATTTAAGGTGTATGACTTGATGACCTAATCTACGTATACCTTGTGAAATATTAAATATTCACCACAACCAAGCCAATTAACATAACCCATCACTCATACTTTTACCGTACCATTTCTGTGTGTGTGATTTCAAGTACACAGTATAGTATTGTCAACTGAAGTCACATGATATACACCAATTTTACAGACTTATTCATCTTATATGACTGAAATTTTGTATCCCTTGACATCTTCCTATTTATCTTCCTATTTTCCCATCCCCTGGGCCCTGGTCACCATCTTTCTACTCTATGTTTCTATAAGTTTGGCTTTACTGTCATTTTTTTGTCTTTTTTAAATATATTTTTATTGGTTTCAGAGAGGAAAGGAAAGGGAGAGAGAGAAACATCAATAATGAGAGAGAATCATTGATCAGCTGCCTTCTGCACACACACAGTGGAGATCAAGCCTGCTACCCGGGCATATGCCCTCGACCAGAGTCAAACCTGGGACCCTTCAGTCCATCGACCAAAGCTCTATTCATTGAGCCAAACCAGCTAGGGCTTCGCTGCTGTTTTTATTACAAAATTTCATTTTGAAAATTGAAAATTGAGAACTCACAGAGGGCTGATATCTTCTTCCACATGCCTTATATGAGAAAGTGTCTTCTGCATTTCAGGAAGTACATTGACTGACTTTTTTTAATTTGGTGAAATTTACTAGAGTTTAGTTTCAACTCTTAAAAGCAACCTTAAGAGGACAGGATTCATTTTAAATAATTTAAATCTTTGCAAAGTGGGGATAAGGTAGATTATTTAAAGTAAAAATACTTTATGGGTAACCAGACATGAAAAAATTAATAACTTGTCTCAAGTCCCTAATTCTAACCCATTATTTAATTCTTTGATTATGTAAGTTTTGGATAGGAGAGTGGGAAAGGTGTGTGGCAGATCAAGGTTGCTCCCTTTCCTCTTGTTTTATCAAGATTTTGTATTTTTTGTTCATGTTTTTTGCAAATAGCTCAGAAGTGTGTTTTGAGTGCTATTTTTAGTTATGAAAAAATATATTGGAGGAGTATTTAAAATTCAGTTTTTTACTGTTGGGTTATATAACAGCTGTTTTCTACTTAATCTGTATCATTATCTTTTGGTGTCCTGGATAGGTGCCCTGTTTGCCGGTACTGTCAAACGCCAGAGCCAGTAGAAGAAAATAAGTGTTTTGAATGTGGTGTTCAGGAAGTAAGTAATGATGGTGGGGATGAACAATGAACACTGCCTTAATGGTCTGGGGTTTTATTCTGCCCTTCGAGGCTTGAAATACTGTTGTGAGACTTTTTGTCTAGTGTCAGGCAAGAAATATAACTGTAAAAACTATTGGACACCTAAGCAAAATACTTTATGGTTTTATTTTTTGTTCTTTGAAAAAGCCTACACTTTATTAAGTTATGAATTTTTTCCTTGCTATTTGCATAGAGTTCCATTAAAATCAGAACAAAAAAATGATTGACCCATAATGGCATCCTTACTTTTGGATTTTAAACATATTTATTCAAAGCTCCTATAGAAACAACTCTAAATCTTATTCTGTGTTAGCCCCCTTCTTACCATGAGTCGGGCAGGTCATGTAATTTTTTTTCCATAGAAACATAGGGTTTTTTGTTTTATTTTGTTTTTACATATATATTTAATTGATTTTTTTTACACAAAGTAAGGGGGAGGGATAGAGAGTTAGAAACATTGATGAGAGAGAATCATCCATCAGCTGCCTCCTGCACACCTCCTATTGGGAATGTGCCCACAACCCATGTACATGTCCTTGACCAGAATCAAACCTGGGACCTTTCAGTCTGCAGGCCTACACTCTATTCACTGAGCCAAACCGGTTAGAGCAGAAACATAGGTTTATTTCGATAGAGACATGCTGAATACAAAGGGCTGAAATAAAAGTAATCCTTAACATAAAATAATAGAACATTTTAATAAAAATCAATATTTTTTCTTGAACATTAACTTGCCAGACACTGAATAATTGCACAAATTAATAAGCGTAACGCAAATAAACCTATATTTCTTGTTTTCCAAAAGCGAAATATTTCCTGTTGTGTACACCAAACAACTTAGTATAAGACTAATGACGTGGCAATCACCTGCTAAAATATTTGCTGCTAGTATTAGTGGAGAGAAATGGTGCACCTATGCGTAAGGCTCAGAAGGGAAATGAATGCAACATGATTATAGTAATCAATCCTTAGCAAACGTAGTTGGTTATTAATAATTATGTATAACAGGATATTGTAAAAATTAAATTACAAAATTTTTTATTAAAACGTTTCTTACATACCATTATATTGGCTGGACTGCAAAAATATTCGTTATGGGCGGAAAGTTTGACATGTTTGATGTATTGTAGAGCCTTATAGACTCAAGGTAAGGAGTCTGGAGTTTAAGTATAATGAGAAGGAAAAGGAATTTTAGTTATTGTATTTGAAAAGTTCAAATAGTGCTGACTATGTCCTTGGACTGCTCTAAGTGCTTTAGAGATATGCACTCATTTAATTATTTAACAAGCCTATGAGAATAGGTGACATTACCATCCCTATTTTACAGATAAGGGAACGGAGGCCCACAGGGATTTCATGACATCATTCCAGCTGCTTGGATATAGCAGACCCAGGACAAACTATCTAATCAATTTATTTTTAAAGTTCACTCTGGTTGCAGTGTGGAGGACAAAATATAGGTGGGCAGGAATAGTCCAGGCCAGCAATCTTGGGGGCTTACACTCAAGTATGATGGTAGAAGCAGTGAGAATGGCTGGTGTCTTACTCTGTTCAGATTGCTGTACCAAAGTACAGTACTTTTGCTTCTACAAAATAAAGCTTCAACAGCAGAGAGGTTATCTGTCATGTATTTTTAGATAATTAAAATCATACCTTCTTCTTGGCAGAACCTTTGGATTTGTTTAATATGTGGCCACATAGGATGTGGACGGTATGTAAGTCGACATGCGTATAAGCACTTTGAGGAAACCCAGCACACATATGCCATGCAGCTCACCAACCATCGAGTCTGGGACTATGCTGGAGGTGAACACCACTCTCGTTCTCTCATTTGGGCTCATTCTGTATGAAAACTTCTCTGTCAGAATCTATTTTCTCTCACAGCTTGAAACCTTCCTGACAGCTGTGGCAAACTCAAGCCCTATTTCCTATGACTGCCCTGAATTGCACCTTATAAAGAAAGTTAATATTTCCACTCTTGCCCTTCACTCTTTTTTAAATTCAAATGCTTTTGTTCACTTTTATTTTTTTTTATTTTTTAAATATGTTTTTATTGATTTCAGATAGGAAGGGAGAGAGAGATAGAAACATCAATAATGAGAGAGAATCATTGATTGGCTGCTTCCTGCACGCCTCCCACTGGGATTTGAGCCCACAACCCAGGCATGTGCCCTTGGACCGTAGTCAAACCTGGGACCCTTCAGTCCGCAGGCTGACGTTCTATCCACTGAGCCAAACCAGCTAGGGCTAGTTCACTTTTATTTATTTATTATATTATTATTATTTAGGATTAGCTCACTTTTAAAGAAATACTGCAATTTAGATCTGTGAAAACAAAAACAAAAATTTTGTCAGTTAAAATAGTATGGAGACCCTTTTCATTCTGAGAGAAACATAACTTGGTTGACTCATTCTTTTCTTTAGATAATTATGTCCACCGACTGGTTGCAAGTAAAACAGATGGAAAAATAGTACAGTATGAATGTGAGGGTGATACTTGCCAGGAAGAGAAAATAGATGCCTTGCAGTTAGAGGTAAGATAAGTTATTAGTAATTACTAAATAGCTTTGTACTATTCTAACTTGACAGGTGCTTTAAGTTTTTAATTTTACCATTTACTCTGCATGTCAACTTTTTTTTTAAAGTTTTATTTCTGCTATAAATGATTATTAATATATTTTTATTCTGATTTTCTTCTCTGAAAGTCTTAAGTTTCACTGTGCCTTATTTTCAGTGTGGTGTTCTGAGTTGTCTCAAGTTTGAGTATTAAGGTTGTCCTCTGTACTGCTCTAAAACTGGAAGTTAAGAATCTTCCTGTTGGCATTGTAGTAACAGTTGGAAATTGAGCAGACTTGGTCAGAATGAGGAAACCTCAATAGTATCTTTCCAAGGAGCTTTTCCCTATATATTGAGCTGGCATTTTATGAATTTGATGCTTATATACATAAAGCCATTTTGGGTACTCATTTATTTGAAGAAACAACAAAATGAGCACAGTCTATGTTTTCTCCATACTACTAAATCCCATCTACTATAAAATTGATGTCACTTGCATTTTATGTTAATGAAGAAATTTAACATACGTTCTATTTTATATAAATTTCAAAATAATTGTTTTAAAAACAAATACCTTAATTTTGGGAGGAAATGGACATTTATAATAAAAACTTGTTCTGATAGGTCAGTATAATGGCCTAAAATAAGGCTAATGTTACCATTAATAAATTATATTGAAAAAAATTATATGGATACTAGAGGCCTGGTGCATGAAATTCATGCACTTGGTCAGGGGGTGGATCCCTCAGCTCGGCCTGTGTACTTTCGCAGTCCGGGAGCCACCACTGTTCTCACCAGCTATGAGCCCGGCTTCTGGCTGAGCAGCACTCCCTTTGTGGGAGCACACTGACCACCAGGGAGAAGATCCTGCGTTGAGCATCTACCCCCTGGTGGTCAGTGCGTGTCATAGTGACCAGTCATTCCGCTGGCAACCCAAAACTGGCTCTCCAACATCCCCCGAGGAATCCCAGATTGTGAGAGAGTACAAGCTAGGCCGAGGGACCCCAGTGGTGCACGATTGGGACTGGGGAGGGATTGTGGGAGGGATATAGGGTGTGTCTGGCCTGTCTTACTCAGTCCTGATTGGCCAGTCCCAGCAGCAAGATAACCAACTGGTTGGAGCATCTGCCCCCTGGTGGTCATGCATGTCATAGCTAGTAGTTGAACAGCCTTAACGTCATTAGCATATTAAGCTTTGATTGGTTGAATGGCCAACTGGATGACCGGACACTTAGCATATTAGGCTTTTATTATATAGGATATCATAGAATCTTTTACATTAAGTTTTTAGAATGAGTAACTCTTCCATAATAGTTAATATTTGTATGCCATTCAATGAATATTCATTGAGGGTTGCTGTCTGTCAGTCCTCCTGGTGGTGGGAATGCAGCATTAAATAAACTCCCTGCCCTTTTGGAGTATACATTCTGGTGACACACACACACACACACACCACACACACTCTCCCAATTGTCCTTTCCCTCTGTTGCACTTTCAGTCTTTTCTCTAGAATATGGTTAGATCTCTGCTAGTCTCCTAGAATAGTCTTTCCAAAATGCAGGTGTGATCTGACCAAACCATGGCCCACATTCTCAATGTGATACCCCAGAGCCTTCCTTAGATCCCCAACTCTCCATACCCTACACCCCAGCCTTATTGGTACTACTTCGCCTCTAAAGAGACCTAAGCATCACAGCTCACATCAAGGTTCAGTAGTTCTCTGGAACCATACCTCTCTCTTTTCTCCTCTTCCTATCTGTAAAGAGCCCTCTCAAATCTCTCTCTCTTTCAGAAGTCCTACTATATCCTGCTGACAGAAGCCATCTATCCTTTCCCTGCAGTTATCCAGCACTGTTCATTAATCCATGTAGTCAGGCAGCAAATGTTTCTTAACATCCAGCATGTGCCAGGCACTGAGGATATAGAAATAAGATAGAACCCTTGCTTTCAAAGATGCCAGGCAGAAAAAACAGTAATTAAGTGCTAGTGTTATAAATGCTAATATTGATAGGCATAGTGCTGTGGGAACTGAGAAAGAGGGCACATAACCAAAAGCTGAGAGGGATGGGATAGGTAGAAAACCTGGTTTGAGTTACCCTTTGATTTAAAAACCATGTAGTTTTTTTTTTTTTTAATTATTTTTTATTGATTTCAGAGAGGAAAGGAGAGGGAGGGAGAAACATCAGTGATGAGAGAGAATCATCGATTGGCTGACTCCTGTTAGCCCTCTACTGGGGATTGACCCTGAAACCTGGGCATGTGCCTTTGACCAGAATTGAACCCAGGACCTTTCAGTCTGCAGGCCTACACTCTACCCACTGAGCACACCCAGCTAGGGCACCATGTGGTTCTTCTTAAAGTCAGTTTGAACAGGAACATATGTTTTTTTACTGTACATTTCCCTATTTGTCCCTGACTAGATTGTAAGCTCCAGGAGGTCAAGAGTATAATTGTGGTTTAGTGAGTAGAGTAGAGTAGAACCAAGATGTAATATATATTTGATGGCTACTCTTACTCTTCTGTAGGTCATTAAAAGTAAAGTTTTAATTGGATTTCAGAGACTGATAACCATGACTTACATTTTGTTGTTTTTGTTTCCAGTATTCATATTTACTAACAAGCCAGCTGGAATCACAGCGAATCTACTGGGAAAACAAGATAGTTCGGATAGAGAAGGACACAGCAGAAGAAGTAAGTTTCTGGTTTAGTGACTGATGAAGTGCCACATGGCGTGGGCAATCTGATGTTGGTTTGGGGAAAGGCAGAGTACAGAGACAAAGGAATCATTGAACCTTTCTTCTTAGTCTGGTAGACAGGTAAAGAACTGTTCTGCCTCTAAAAAGAAACCTTTGTTCTATGTTATATTGCACTAAAGCTGGAGTTAGTGGAAAGAAGAAAAGAAAATTTGGAATCATTTGGCTCACCTTAATAACCTAACTCTAGGTAAGGATTCCAGAGAGAAGTGGTAAACACCTGACTTTTCATTATTTAGAGATTTAGCCTATGAAGGCACTATTGTGGGACAAGCTAGACCACAATGAGAATGAAATTAGTCAAAAAGGAAAAGGAAGAGAAAAAAATGCAAATGCAGTCAACAAGGGAGAGAAGCAGACATGAATTCTCATCTAAGATTACTAAATCAAATCAAAAGAATATATTAAAATCTTATTGTATGCTGAGCTCTATAGCAAACTAAGTTAAGGAAGAAATAAAATACTTAGCATGTACCTTAAAAAAAAAAAAAAGAAAGGAAAATGGAAACCTTACATTTAAAAGCTTTAAATTTGGGGGTTTGGGGTTTTGCTTATTTGCTAATTTCAATAAAGTTTTCTAGTACTTTGTGTAATTCTATTTAAAAAATAGAAGTATATACATGAGGATTTGTAATTTGAGTCAGCCAGTTGGTTTGTGAACTTGGGAACAGCTGCTTTGGGGAGCTGAACATGTGCCTCTGAGCTACAAGATTATTCTCGAAGCTGGTGGGAACAAAATTGGGGAGAATTGCTAGAACTTCATTGGTCACCATATTTTCGTATTGGTCTAGGACAGTGATTTTCCACCAGTGTTCCATTGCACATCAGTGTGAATTTTTAAAACATGGAATACCTATTTAGTCTAAGGCATGGACCTCTTTTCCCTTAGATTGTCAAATAAAAAAATTACAACAGCCAATACAACAATAGCTGCCAGGTGTGAATGAATCAAAATGTGTGTGTGTGTGTGTGTGTGTGTATATATATATATATATATATATATTTTTTTTTTTTTTTTTTTTTTTTTTGTCAGATCACGAAGTATACATTTTTTGATGTGCTGCAGAATTTTTGTAACTAGTTTATGTGTGCCATGAAATGAAAAAGGTTAAAAATCGCTGGTCCCAGGCATTGTCTTCAGATTTTAACAAAAATGCGATTTTAAAAAGATGCCACTCACTACAACATTTAAAAGAGAAAAGTGGTATGATTTGGGTTGAAACATAGATGTGGGGCCAAACCTCCACCTGCCTGTTTTTCCCTTTGTCTCCAGCATGTACAAGGAGTCCATAGGGTTCCAAAGGAGTTTGAAAACCAGTGAGCACTGCAGAATTCATGTATAATTGGGACAGTGTTTTTAATTCATCGATTTTCTGAACCTGCGGGCAGTGTTCTTAATTCATCGATTCCCTTATTTAAATACAGGCTTTGAGATTTTTTTAAATGATAGTCTTAATAATTTTGTGAATCCCCACCAGTAACTCGGCCTTCAGATGGAGAATACAGAGCGAGGCTTGGGGCTCACCTCTGAGTAGGATTATCTGGAGCTTAGCAAGTAGGGCTGAGCTCTCACTTTATGCCAGGCCCAGAGTCCCTGGTTTCCGGGTATGCCTATAAATGAAGAGAAACTGGGTTTTTATAGATTTTTTTAAAATATTTTTTTATTGATTTTCCACAGAGAGGAAGGGAGAAGGATAAAGAGCTAGAAACATCGATGAGAGAGAGACATCGACCAGCTGCCCTCTGCACATCCCCCACTGGGGATGCGCCCGCAACCAATGAACATGCCCTTGACCTGAATCGAACTTGGGACCTTTCAGTCCACAGGCCGATGCTCTATCCACTGAGCCAAACCAGTTTTGGCAAAACTGGGTTTTTAAACATAAGGCTTAACACCAACTTTAAAATGATGTTTAGTTCAAAGTTCTGGATGAAATTCTTTTTAAGACCATTCCAAGGAATGGAAATGCCTTTCCAGAGGCACTCAAGTTCTGAATAGGGCTTGATTGTGCATGGGGGAAGGACACTCCTCTGACAGCACTCAGGAGAGAGTCGCTGCCACTTGATGTCAAGTTCTGGCCTTACAGGGAGGAGGCTGGCAACCTGAGCAGCCTCACTAATGGGTTTTTCCACGGGCTATCCCAGCGTGACCATGGAGTGCTTCATGCAGACCCGCAAGAGCTAAGCTCAGGATTCTCTGCCTTTTAAGATTCTTTAGGATTAACTGCATTCTCTGACACATGCCCATGAAAAGTCCAGGGACAGGGAAGCTAGAAACTGTGAAACTTGTGTTTCCGTTTAGGAAGGGGTAATACGGAGGCCCTAAATGAAAAGCTTGAAGGGCTTGAAGAGAATGCTTTGTTTTCTCATAACAAATGTTGCTTATTCATAAGGTAATGGATGGTGCAAGCCTTTTGTTCCTGCCTCTGTCCTCCTTTTGACCAATATTCTGTCCACTGGCACTTACAGCTGCGCAAAGATTAACAGTAACCGATGTGGATCTCACTGACAGAGATTCTTGTTCATGGGCCTCATAGAAAGGGGGAGGGGAAAGGTGAAGGTTGGAATTGATTGTGAACCTCAATTATAATAACTATTCCTGTCCCCCAATGCCTTAGGTAGTTATTATAGCATGTCAGCAGTCTGTTCTAAAAACTGAAGCTCTTACCCACTGGAAGGTTCTTAGTTTTAATGTGGCCACATATGAAGAACACAGGTACCGTCAGGACAGGTGAATTCCCCTCAAGGTACCGCTCTTCTCTCTGAACCTCATGTTCTCAAACAGTTTTTCTCTAGCTGTGGACTGGGAAATGAGTTTGGTGGACCACAACTGGCATTTTTTATTAAATAGAATATGATAGGCGTAAAACATCAGAGTGCATCACATTTAATACTGTTTTCTGAAACTCCTATTTCAGTTGTATGTGTCTTTTTTATGTTCCTGGGTGTTTTTTACTTTGAGCTAATGGTCAGAAATGTTTTAAAAAGCACTAGTTTAGCCCATTGTAAAATCATCTATAGCAGTATTAGAAAGCTTGGTGTTGCTTGATATTTTTCATTTTGATTTAAATGTGTTCGGCTTAAGTCTCTTTAGTAACCAAAACATTACAATTTGATTTCATTTCTGTCCTTTTCAATTCTCCTAAATTAACAGGAACCAGTTTAGGAGAAAATGTCAAAGGATCCTAGTGGTCTTTTATGTTAAAGCAATATTGAGAAGAAAATGAATACCAAACTAGAATTAAAGCAGTTTTAATTTTTATTTTTATGACATAGAAAAACTGTCAGAAATCTCCCTTTAATTGCATACTTTTATAACTTAATGGTAGTTGGCTATAAAGTTAATTTCTCCAAAGCAGTTATTTTCATATTACTCAAAAAGGGGGACAGTTTGGCTCAGTGGATAGAGTGTTGGCCTGCAGATTGAAGGGTCCCAGGTTTGATTCTGGTCAAAGGTACATGCCCAGGTTGTGACCATGATTCCCAGAGGGGCATGCAGAAAGCTAATCAGTGATTCTTATTGATGTTTCTATCACTCTGTCGCTTTTTCTCTAAAATAATTTTTTTTATTAAATATATTTTATTGATTTTTTTACAGAGAGTAGGAGAGAGTGATAGAGAGCTAGAAACGTCAATGAGAGAGAAAGATCGACCAGCTGCCTCTTGCACATCCCCTACCGGGGATGTGCCCGCAACCAAGGTACATGCCCTTGACTGGAATCGAACCTGGGACCTTTCAGTCCACAGACTGACGCTCTACCACTGAGCCAAACCAGTTTCGGCTCTAAAATAAATTTAAAAATATTTTTACAAAGGGGAGGGGGGGAGGAGAGACAATGTTTTCAGAGACCTGTTAGGCAAGCCATATGGCAAGTTTTTCAAAAGTAAGTGTTAAAAGCAATGCCCTTTTTCCTGGATCTCTGCTGAGTTTAGAACTCACCGAGAGGTCACTTTTCCTTTGCTATAGAGAGGTTTAGAACTTGGCTTTGGACCCAGGCTTGGGGTCCAGTTCTGGACCCACCACACTTTATAGCTGGGTAAACCTTGGGTGTATTACCTTACCGTCCTGAAAGCCTCCATTTCTGTAAAAAGTTGACATACATGACCATAGGTGTATTATAAAGAGATACTACTTATAAAACACCTAGCAGGTGCCTGGACCATAGGATTTAAATTCTCAAGTTACTTTCAGGTCCTATGACTGTTGCCTCATGATTCACCCAGCCTCACTACTTACCCTTTTACCTAATCTTCTCGTGTTGTTAGACCGGTAGAGTTGAGGCATTTCCCAAATCTTCACACCTGAGTGAATCTAGTGTCTGCCTAGATAGACTTCAGTAGACTCGGCTAGGATTGCTGCCATCTGACATAAAATGGCAGAGTTTTTCTTTTCTCGTAAGTTTTTTTTAACTTTTTACAGAAAGTGGGGGAGAAGGAGAGAGAGTTAGAAACACCAATGAGAGCTGAAACCGGTTTGGCTCAGCGGTAGAGTGTCGGTCTGTGGACTAAAAGGTCCCAGGTTCGATTCCGGTCAAGGGCATGTACATTGGTTGCGGGCACATCCCCGGTAAGGGGTACGCAAAAGGAAGCTGGTCGATGTTTCTCTCTCATCAACATTTCTAGCTCTATCCTTCTCCCTTCCTCTCTGTAAGAAAAATCAATAAAATATATTTTTTAAAAAAAGAAGAAGAAGAAAAGAAACACCAATGAGAGAGAAACATCCATCAGCTGCCTCTCGCACACTCCCCCGCCTGGGGATGTGCCTGCAACCAAGGTACATGCCTTTGACTGGAATCTAATCTGGGACCCTTCAGCCCGCAGGCCAACGCTCTATCCACTGAGCCAAACCAGTTAGGACTTTGGTAAGTTTTTAAGACAATGTAATATGAATTAGTTCCGTATATATTGTCTTTATAAATTAACTCAAACAAGAACCGCTGAAGCTGGTTTGGCTCAGTGGATAGAGTGTCAGCCCGCAGACTAGGGGGTCCTGGGTTTGATTCCAGTCAAGGGCATGTACCTTGGTTGTGGGCACATCCTGAGTGGGGGTGTGCAGGAGGCAGCCGATCAATGTTTTTCTCTCATCAATGTTTCTAACTCTATCCCTCTTCCTTCTCTGTAAAAAATCAATAAAATATATTACAAAAACAAGAAAACCAAGAACTAATTCATGTACCATAATATGGCTTTATGGTACATGAGAAATTTAATAGTGAGTTGGAGTGACGAACCCCAAACAGAATCAGTTATCACATCGTTGATAGGTTAGATGAGTTTCTTGGATTATTTGGATAATAGTTTTGGGAATGTAATCTCAGGAGGAGAAAAACGGTGAGTTGATCATGGGAGGGGAGGCTTCGTTCCAGTATCTCTGACAAACCATCTCCTGCTCTATTGCATGGAACTCTTCTTTTACTTCTGAGCAGTTTCACTTGACCCTAGCAGCTCCTGATCCTTTGTTCATCCTGGTATGGCATAATAGTAAACAAAAAAAGAATTTTTCAAATATTTTTTTCCTATATCAGGAATTCTTTAAAATGATTATATCACTTTTTCTAAAATTGGCTTGTCCACTTTATACACAGGTAATTGAAAAAAATGTTTTTGAGAAATTAGCTTCAATGCCACATAATTTTGTCTTTCTAAAATGAAACTGATCTATTTGCTTTTTCAGATTAACAATATGAAGACCAAATTTAAAGAAACAATTGAGAAATGTGATAATCTGGAGCACAGACTAAATGATCTTCTAAAAGAAAAGCAATCTATGGAAAGAAAGTAGGTATAATTGGTCTGTTTTTTAAAGGAGGCATTTTATTGTAACAGGCAACAAAAACAGATAACTTCCTTCACTCCTAAGGAAATACTCATTTTCAAGTGTATCACCAGGTTTTCAGAGGTCTGCCTATATGTAGAGCAAACTTACTGTGACTTCCTATTTATTAAAATCATAGTGTTTCCTGCCATATGGATGTGGTAGGGAATGCAAATATCTTCCACATTTTTCTGTAGAAAGTGATTTCCTTGTGCCCAGAGCCTGTAGCTTCTCTGAGCCATGGTGGCTGAGAAATGATAGGAAAGAGACCCTGTCTAAACTGGAGATGGCATGTGTTCTGCCCTTTTTGGAATTAAAGGCCAAAGATGTTGAATACGGAGCAAAAAACTCATGAACAGCATGGCAAGACCATCACTCTACCCCTGCTTTGTGGGAAGATGGTTATTGCTGATTGAAATTGCCTTTCTGGTCTATGTTATACTAAAAAAAAAAAACTGTATTTTTACCTCCAGACAAATGGATAAAAAAAAATGTAAGGAGGATAATTGTTCCTTAAAAAGTTTTTTAATAGACCTTTTATCTTGGAGTAAGCGTAGATTTACAGTGGTTATAAGGTAGCATAGAGTGCCTGTATACCCTTCACACATTCACCCATTGTCAAAAGTTGCATTTTTAAAAATATTTTGTGTGTGTGTGGGGGGGGGGGGTAAAGATCTAAATAACAAAAAACTTTTTACCATTTTTAAGTGTACAGTTCAGTGGCATTAAGTACTTCATAATCTGTACAACTGGTCACCACCCTCTGTTTCCAGATGTTTTCACCACAATCAGAAACTCTTTACCAGCCAGGATCGGTTTGGCTCAGTGGATAGAGCGTCGGCCTGCGGACTGAAAGGTCCCGGGTTCGATTCCGGTCAAGGGCATGTACCTTGGTTGCGGGCACATCCCCAGTAGGGGGTGTGCAAGAGGCAGCTGGTCGATGTTTCTCTCTCATTGACGTTTCTGACTCTCTGTTCTTCTCAATTCCTCTCTATGTAAAATCAATAAAATATATTTAAGAAAAAAAAAAAAGAGAGAGAGAAATTCTTCACCAAAGGTTTAAAAAAAAAAAAAATGCCAAAACCGGTTTGGGTCAGTGGATAGAGCGTCAGCCTGAGGACTGACGGGTCTCGAGTTCGATTTCAGTCAAGGTCATGCACCTTGGTTGCAGGCACATCCCCAGTAAGGGCCGTGCAGGAGGCAGCTAATCAATGTTTCTCTCTCATCGATGTTTCTAGCTCTCTATCCCTCTCCCTTCATCTCTGTAAAAAAAATCAGTCAAATATAGTTTAAAAAGAAAAAGTGAAAACTGGGGTTTTTTCTAGATCCCAATATTTGGAAGTAACCATTATTAACAGTACCAGTAAATATTTACTCTTACAGATCTTTTGCTCTAGCTATATAAATATCTCACATACACAGTCTTTTTTCTACACAATTAGAATAATACTACGTATTCTATTTGGTAAAATTCTCTGATTTGGAGATTTTTTTCATGCTGGCACGTTTAGCTTTATCATGATCTTTGTAATTGCTGTATAGTATTCCATTGTGTGTAGGTCCCGTAATAATTTTTTAAAATATATTTCTGTTGATTTCAGTGAGGAAGTGAGAGGAGGAGAGAGAGAGAGAAACATTAATGATAAGAGAATCATCCATCAGCTGCCTCTTGCACATCCCCCACTGGGGATTGAACCTGTAACCTGGGCATGTGCTCTTGACCAAAATCAAACCTGGGACCCTTCAGTCCTCAAGCCATTGTTCTATCCACTGAGCCAAACTGGCTAAGGCAAACTTTTTGTAATCTTCACCCGAGGATATATTTCCATTGATTTTTAGGGAGGGTAGAAAAAAAGAGTGAAAGACAGAGAGAAACATCAATTGGTTGCCTCCTGCACGAGCCCAGGTTCTAGTTGGGAGCCTGACACCAAGCAAGGTACATGCCCTTGATCGAATTTGAACTCGGGACCCTTTGGTCTGCAGGCTTGCTTTATCCACTGCTCCTGGAGCCAAACCTACTAAGGCAGTTCCATAATAATTTCAGGCAGTTCCCATTGATGGACATGTAAGTTGTCTCAAGTCTTCCACTATTGTAAACAACATTGTGGTAATCGTCTTTCTCCGTGCGTCTTTCCGCGCATTCCTGAGTGCCAGTGTATCTATTTTACAGGAGAAGTTCCTAAAAGTAGAGTAGCTGTGTCAAAGGACCCTGTGAAGTTCCGACTTTCTAGTTAGCTCAAAGTTAACTCTGAGAGTTTGTACCAGTTCCCACTTCAGTGCCATGTATAGGAGTGCCTCTTCCCATGTGTGTGAGCTCTTTGGCATTCTGATACATAAAAATGGTGTTTAAATTTGTAGTTCTTTACTTATGAGTAATAAATGCAGTGATGTCAGAATGTAATTTTTCCTCATAACTTCTTTATCACCATTGTCCTCTCTGACCACCTATTTAACCACTACTGCAAAACAAGAGAAGCAGGAGAAGTTTTATCATGAACCATGAAACACAGAATAGTTTCTGCTATGGAAAAATTTCTATGCTTATTGTCTTAAAGCTACATATGTTTTAAGCAGTACAAAATTCTTTGTGTAGCTGCTACAGTGGTAGCAAACCAGTCTCCCTGAACAGGTAGGGTAGAGTTCACCCTAAATGATTCTGAGATCACGGCTCCTCTGTTCAAGCCCAAAGTAGATAAAGGACTGTGTCAGCAAATGAAAAATGTGCTTTTGTCTTCTTTTGTTTTATAAAAGGTGCACTCAGCTAAACACAAAAGTAGCCAAACTCACCACGGAGCTCAAAGAGGAGCAGGAAATGAACAAGTGTTTGCGAGCCAATCAGGTCCTCCTGCAGAACAAGCTGAAGGAGGAAGAGAGGGTTTTGAAGGAGACCTGTGACCAGAAGGATCTGCAGATCACTGAGATCCAGGAGCAGCTGCGTGACGTCATGTTCTACCTGGAGACACAGCAGAAGATCAACCACCTGCCTGCTGAGACCCGGCAGGAAATCCAAGAGGGGCAGATCAACATTGCCATGGCCTCTGCCTCAAGCCCCGCCTCTTCCGGGGGCAGTGGGAAGCTGCCCTCCAGGAAGAGCCGCAGCAAGCGGGGCAAGTGACCTTTGCAGAAACAGGTGTCCCTGAGACTTCCCCGGCACAGCGAGGGTGTGCTGGGCCCAAATGTGAGGGTGGCCCCGAAATAAGTACAAGTGAGGATCGAGCTGCAGTTGTTTGGATCTTTCATTTGCTAGTGTTTGGTGTACTGAATGTAGAGGGTTGACAACTAGGAGAACTGATGGAAAGGGGAATGTTTTAAATGGTGGCTGCTTTTTTCAACCTAATAGTTCACTAACCTCAGACATTCTAATGGCCATTTTGCCTTCCTTCTTGATAGATGCCCCAAATCTGCTGTGCATTTTTCTGTTTTATTTATTGAGTTGGTGTTTTTGACATTCAGTTCTGGGGTCAGTGGGTAACATTCCTAGTCCTGAAGCACCAAACCTCCCTGAGGCCATAGAAGCTGCCGTAGGGAGAGGTTTGCCTTGGCCACTGAGGATTTATGGAGATTCCGGAGCTTTAGTCTCACATCATTGTCATCCCTCCCTCCCTCTAGGGACTTGAAGAACTGGTTGAATGTTATATGAAAAGAGGCTGGGCCTGTAAACCAGGCACTGGCTCGTCTCCAGCAGCCATATCTTCTTGCTCTAGGGCTGGCCAGGAAAAACAACCACCGGGGCAGACTGAGGAGAACCAGTGTAGGAAAAATGGTGGTGTTTCCACTTTGTTTATATTTTCTTCCTTTTTTTTTTCCCCTCCCCCCAGAAAGGAAGGGGGAGGGAGAGAGAGAGAGAAACATCAACGATGAGAGGGAATCACTGGTTGGTTGCCTCCTGCACACTCCTTAACAGGGGATTTATCCCGCAACCCGGGCTTGTGCCCTTGGCCGGAATCAAACCCAGGATTTTTCAGTCCGCAGGCCAACACTCTATCCAACTGAGCCAAACCAGGTAGGGAAACTTTGTTTATTTTTTATGATTCTACACCTCCCCATGAACCTCAAAGAAGGAGAAGACTTAATGGTGACTCTTAAGAATCAAATCTCAGAGTGAATTTCCTTGCCTCTAGCAAGAATGAGCAGGCAGATTTACCATCCATGTGAAAATGTAGAGTGAGGCCTCTGACTAGCTGATTGTGTATTTTGCTGGAATCAGTATTTTTTGAATGTTTACAAAAAATTGGGCTGCATGTTCAGGTTGCGGCTAGAGGGAGCTTGGGCAGATTTTCAATTATGCTTTCAAGCTGTAACCAAAGGGTGTTTCTAAATCCAAAAATTAGAAATTTAACAGAGCCCCCTTTAAAACAGTCATGTAATGCTTGCTGTAGGCCAACAGAGGGGCTGTGTACTTTCTCTAAAAACATAAACACCAAATAATTCGTAATAAGCTGTAATGAGCAAAGTTAAAATAAGAGCTGTTGGACTTTAGCTTCCAAAAGTGGTAAGTTGGATAGGCTAACAAGACATATTGTTACACGATGAGTTTGTTTTCTGCTTTATAATTGGCCAAAGTTCAAATGATCACATTTCAGAATTTTTTAGCTAGCCTATGGTTAGGCCTCATCCCTTTTGACCTAAATGTCTTACAAGTTATTTGTTAGCACACCAGCTGTTTCGCTGATCACCATCCATTGTTGTGGGATGTGCTGCAGCATTTCCCAAAGAACCTTACCCATAACTTTGCAAAATGAATGTACTCAGACATTCTCAATTTTACGTAGGGCAGACCGACTGTGAGTCCTCTTTGGACTTAGCAGATGTCTCAGATATCTTAGAGCAACTGTGGGAATGTAAAACATAACCTAATTCTCTTTCCTATAGAGATTCTATTTTATTTAAAATCTATTTTTACACTAGTTAGAATCCTGCTTTTTTGGTCAAGTACTTGTCTTGCATGTCTGACCTTGCAGAAGCTGGGGTGGATGGTAGCATACTAATGAAGAGAATTACAAGTGCTTTCCAAAGCTTGCACACTCCTCGTTTCTCTGGGATCACCTCTGTCAAGCAGCTCTGCCACCAGCTGGGAAAAGCGGTTTTCTGCACGGGTGGGATAAATGTTCCGAAAGCCTGTGCCCAGAGAAATGAGCGAATAGGCAAATGTTTCCAAACTCCTGGAAGGTTTCTAAAAAACGTTGCTGAAAATACAAATCTTATTAAGATATGGAAAGAAAATGTTTTCTAAAAACATGTTTGAATTTGACAAAATTACATCCGATAGACACCGTCAGTGTTTTCTTCGGGGTGGAATGAACCACTTAACATATCCATCCTACCTTGAACAATGACATTGCATTAAAGTAACCAAACTTGGAAATGATTCTGTTTCATGTGAAATTTGTGTGTCTCGTATTGACATTTGCTTGGGAATTTATATCTAAATAATGTAAGAAAGTGTAAAAAAAGAAAAAAAAAGTGTCAGTGGCCTTTAATCTTGCAACAATATAGTGAGCAGCTAGATTATTTTCATTTTTCTGCCCCTTTGCTCCAACTTTCCTAACAATAAGTACCTGCTCAGATACAGGAACGGAAAAATTACTTTAATTTGGAGGCTCGGAGTAGGAGAAGCCCCAAGGCACAACCCTTGCAAACCAAAAGCAATGAATTTATACACCTAAGACTTTTTCCTGGGCCCGACACCATGCTGAGATAAGTTTTATTTTTGGAAACGTTCACAAAATAGGTCTTCCTGGGATACACTGGTAAGATAAAGCACTGAGGCAGCGACCCCCTCCTTGCTTGCACAGTGGAAGTGTCCTCATCAAAAACGGCTGAGAAACTCCTAAACAGGCAGCCAGCAGAGTGTGGAGAACTTGGCAGATCACAAATGAACGACCGTCTGTCATCACTTGGAAATCCCTCTCCGAGTGCAGTTGGGATCCACAAGCTACAAATACTACCTGTAAGATTTGGCTGCTTACCACCGATGCCACATTGCCTGTGATGAAATCCACGGGCTGATCTAAAAAGGGAAAGCCACTCAGAACATTTGAGGGAAGTTACTTTGTTTTCTCCAGGATAAAACGGAATTAACTGTCAGGTGATTCTGCTCTGGTACTTCTTTCTTGGCAGCAGAAGGGCATTTCTCAGGCGTCTCCAGCCCTGCCTCCTGCTCCCTCATGGCGCTGAGGGACAATTAAACCACTCACAGACATCACCTTTGGCAAGTTCAGGAAGCCACCAAGTAAGTATTCCCTGGCAGGCCTCCGCGCTGGCCAGACTTTATTCTTGCCTGCGAAAATTTCTGAAACGGGAATCCCAGAATATCTACCTACTGGCCTCACCAACAGATGGAGCTTTGAAAGTTAAACGTTTAAATGACAGGAAAGAGCAAAGCGGTAATAGGGAGAAAAGCCTTTCCCTTCAGGAACCCCGAGTTTTATCCCTGAGCCAAAGCCAACTGTGTCCTCTTCCCCCAAATGCTATACTGCAGTCAGCTTGAAGCAAATGAAAAGACAGACTGGATTTGAGTTTTGGCAGACTTTAGGGAAAGTTGTATAAGGCTTCCTTTAAGTTTTTTATTTATGGGAGGGGTTGTGGCCTGTTTATTCTGGCTAATCTCGTAATCTATTCCTTTATATGCTCTTCATTTTTTAGAATTAATGCTAACCCTATTTACCTTGCACCCCTGAAACTCGCATGCCCACCCCGGAATGCTCAGACACTTTTATCAATAATGGGCTCCATCACCGAAACCAGTTTGGCTCAGTGGATAGAGCTTCCGCCTGCAAACTGAAAGGTCCTGGGTTCAATTCCGGTCAAAGGCATGAACCTTGGTTGTGGGTGCATCCCCAGTGGGGGTTGTGCAAGAGACAGCTGATCGATGATTCTCTCTCATCCATGTTTTTAACTCTATCCCCCTATCTTCCTCTCCGTAAAAAAATCAATAAAAACATATTTTTAAAAAATAATAAAAATAATGGGCTCCATCAAACATTAATTTTGGAAGCTGTCATTCCATGAGCAAAAACTATTTCAGATTTATTTTCTCTAGAACACGTTTGGAGCAGCCTCTTACTGTAATTCTGGAAGCTTAGGAGAGCGTGAATGGGGCCCTGTATTGGTTCTTAATCTGGGTTTTGCATTCTTGCTGCGGTAAAGGCCAGGGAGAGATGAACAGTCCGCTGTTTTACACAACATGACTGTGGTCCTTGGGGCCTAATGTCGAATTGCTTCGGGTCAGAGACTTCTCACTGGAATCATCTGGAAAATGTGGTTTGGTACTTGGCACGGGCTGCGCTGGTGCAGATAACATGCCTGACTCCAAGGCCAATTACCAAGCGCTCTAAGTGAGCTAAAGCCACTTTGCTCTCTTGCAGACCAAGTTCTAAATCCCCTGACCTGCGACTCCTTTCAGACTCGGCCCCTCAAAATAAATGCAGAGAGTTTGTCCAGTGATTGAAGCTAGTCAGAGTGTGAAATCACTGTGAGGTCTTGGAGCATGAAGGTTTATGATCCCCAGGATAAATCCACCCTAGCACACGCCTGGTGGTGCATTCTTTCCACAAGATAGCCCTATCGCGCTGCACATAAATGGTGAATAGGAAAAACAGTTCTGACTTGGCCTCCACATTTTTTGTCTTGTTTTTAAAATATATTTATATTGATTTCAGAGAGAGGGGAAGAGAGATACACATTAATGATGAGGATCATTGATCAGTTGCCTTCTGCACACCCCCTACTGGGGACCCAGCCCTGACCGGGACTCGAACCCTGACCTGATTCATAGGTCAATGCTCAACCATTGAGCCACACCAGCGGGGCAGCCTCCATGTTTTTTGCCATTTTTGGCCGCAAGTAACAGCAGGTCCTAGAACAAATCTTGTACTTTTGTTCCTCATTTAAAAAGGAAGAGACCTTGCCGAAACCAGTGCGGCTCAGCAGATAGAGCATCGGCCTTTGGACTGAAGAGACCCAGGCTCAATTCCGATCAAGGGCATGTACCTTGGTTGCGGGCACATCCCCAGTGGGGGGGTGTAGGAGGCAGCTAATCGATGTTTCTCTCTCATCAATGTTTCTAACTATCCCTCTCCCTTCCTCTCTGTAAAAAAATCAAAATATATTTTT